AAACAATAATTTATATCCCACCTTTCTGGGGCCAACAGGCTCTGTGAGGCAGCTATTCACCAATAATATAGACAATCGTTAAAATATATTATGGGGGGGGGGAGTGAGTCAACCAAAACTAGATTTGCATATCATCTTGCAGGTCCAGTTTGGGGGTGGAAAACCTGTAGAAAGGGAAAGATTAAGATGCTCCCCATCTTACACATTGGTCTCCAATTGAAAATCTCCACTTGGGTGGGTCTTTTAAGTAGAAAAAAAAATGGGGGGGGGGAAATATGATAAAGATCTCACATAGTTTGAGCCTAAGGGACCAGCCAGTCTATAAGGAAGTGGTTTGTCCCTGCTTATTAGCTTTAAAAGAAAAAAGAAAGAAAAAGAATCACAGTTTCCACAACAGGACTATTCTAAGATGACTATTTTAATACACCATTAATTTCCTTTCTTTCCTGAAAGGTTGCAGATTTTGCACATCCTGTGTGAAGTGAGGTAAGAAAAACAGTGCTATATGTGTCGTTTTGTTGTTACTGATGAAAACTACTGATTACTCAGCCCAGAGAAGAGTTTACTAGACAGCAGTAGTTCATTTTTTGCTGGGAAGGATTCAAAAGTCATGGAAACACACCTTTGGAAGAACAGGGCCACTTTGCATAAGCATTCATAGAAACCAGCTCTAGCTTAATGTCTGGTCCCCCAAAGCCTTTTTGCCGTTAAAACAGAGTGAAAAAAAGAGATGATTTGTGAGCTTTATTTTCTAATTGTTCTGCCAAAGCATTCGGCAGGGTTTCAAGTCCTTGACTGTGCTAGGAGCCTCCACAGCTTCTCTGAACAATAAAGGGCAGCATACCGATTGTGGCCCAGAAACAGCAAACTTTGATCTGTAAAACCTGAGCGGATTTTTTAAACATTCAATATCAATTAAAAATATTCATAAGTAGTAGTTGAATCTTCATTCGTTATGTGTTGAGCATGGAGTCTGGGAATTGGTGAGAGGGATTATCAGAGAGATTAGCATCTCATATTATGAGCAACATAAACATCAAACGTTTAATAATGAAACAGTCTGAAATATAACTGTACAAGCAATTAGCAATTAATTGCATACGTAATTAGCTCTTTTTTTAAAAAAAGAAGCTTACCTGTTGCCAGAAAACAAATAAAAGTATTTCTGCTTTGCCTGTTTTTCTTTGAAAGAAGAGGTGACCACACTACAGTTTCTCGGCATAGAATTGGATGGGCAAATAAAACATTCCCTGATGCCTAAAATGAGTAGAATGGCTATTTATGCATCAGCCAAAAAAAAGAAAAAGGGAAATGCGTCCCCAGAGGAGGACAAAGAAGAAAACAGATTAGAATAAAATTTATGTATGATAATTTACATGTGCAGATGCAAACTTAGAAAAATTACTATAACGAGAAATACATTGGCTCCATGTTAGTCCAACTCAGCGCAGATCTACTGAAATTAATGGGCATGATGGGTAATTGGATTTATTAATTTCAGTGGTTCTAACTTCATTGGATACAACCCAGTACGTCTCACCATAGGGTGGAGGTCTGAGACCCAAGTCACGTGCTCCTATTCAGTCTGCAGTCCATATACCATCTGTTGATGGACAACCTCAAGGCCTCTCCTGCTTTCCTCTCTTAAAGTTCTTTAAACCGGCTGAAGACCAGACCACCCTTCCAACAGAGAGATCTGAATGCTTAAAAATAATGTGTGCACATTATGAAGCTAGCTGGAGTTCAGCTGCTTAATATGAGCTGTGAGAGAGCATTAATCTTCTGGAGAGGAGGAGGAAGTTCAAGCAGTAAAGCAGAGCTTGTTCAAATGGTCCCTTAAAATCCCAGAGGAAGAGGTAAACATCTGCTAATGGGTTTTTAAAAGAAGGGTAAGTCATTAATAATACTTGGAGACTGCCACCAATAAAAATCCTAACAGAACAAAAAAGGTCAGTGCCTATAAATTATTATTATTATTGTTTTGTTATCATCATCCCACATTAAGAACGATGTTGTCAGACTCAACACAGCTTTAAGGAGAGTCAAAAATACAATACCTGCTGCAAAAGAGCTATTTTGAAACAGATGCACAGACCATTCTAATGGAGGCAACAAAGTTTTCCCCACTCAGGCCAAACTCCAAGTGACTTACCATTAGGGAGAGGAGGGAAAAATTCAGTTCAGTTTTCATCGAATGGGAAACCTACCTATTTCACACTTCCAGAAACAATACAAGAATGAAACACAGTAATACTTATCATTATTTAATAAATCCAGATCTGTAGACCTGCTGTTTACGTATGGAATTTCCATAAGAGACCATTTGTTTGTTTGCTTTGCCCTGGGCACTGAATTTTAAGTGAAACATTGGTTTATCTTTTCATTATGACAGATTGGGCAACAGAACAGTCTATGAAGTTGCTTTGCTGCTGAAATCAAGAGAGTGGAAAAGAGGTCTAATAATGACAATTTGTTGATGTATTTTACCAGTTCAGTTTCAGGGTATATTCAGACACAAATCTTTTTCCATTAGTTTTCCAGGTTTTCTTGTTAGGGGGATTCAGCAATACATCCATGCCACACAGACAGAGCAAAGAAATGGGGTCAGTTGGGGTGTTAAAAGAAAATAGCAAAAGGTTATATATTTATTACTGCCAAGGAGGGGGAGAGGGATTTTTCAGCCTTAAGTGCCAAAAAAATTGATCACCCTTGGGAGCTATGTATTTTGCTGTATGGGATTTGTGGGTGCTAGTTGCTGTTCTGCCTCAAGCCAGAAAAAATGCCTAGGGTCCTATTTCCCCCTCTTTGCAATCAGGATGTTATCCAGATTTAGGTAGGTAGCCGTGTTGGTCTGGCATAGTAGAAATATATAAAAATAAATTTAAAAATTGTCCAGTAGCACCTTAGAGACCAACTAAGTTTGTTCTTGGTATGAGCTTTCGTGTGCATGCACACTTCTTCAGATACACTGAAACAGAAGTCACCAGACCTTTATATATAGTGAGAGGGTGGGGAGGGGTATTACTCAGAAGGGGGGTGGGAATGGGCGATTGGCTGATAGGTGTGGTAAACCTGTTGACAGGTAAACCTGTTGACGACTGTTAACGACTGCAGTTGGTCTTACAGGAAAAAGCAAGGGATGAGATGGCCAAAAATAGCTTTATCATGTATAATGAGATAAGAACCCAATGTCTCTATTCAGACCAGGCCTCTCCATGGTTTTAAGTTTGGTAATAAGTTGTAATTCAGCAACTTCTCTTTCCAGGCTATTTCTGAAATTCTTTTGTAATATGGCAGCTACTCTGAGATCTTGTATAGATCCTGGGAGATTGAAGTGTTCTCTTACTGGTTTCTCTGTCTTGTGATTCCTGATGTCAGATGTTATCCAGATAAATAAATGAGCAGCTCCTCAACTTAGAGGAAGGGGCCAGCCCTACTGTTGGACAGCGTGAGGTGAAAACCTCAGGTGACCAATGTGACAGCCCCTCACGTCCCTCTTGAGCATCCTAAGTGAGTCATGAGTGCAAGGCACCACGGTTTGGCAGTGGGGAGCGGTGGAGAACACACCATTTGTTGCTTTGCCTCAGGTAGCAAAACATCACGGGCCCAGCGGCATTAGCAGGACAGCATCTGTGTGCACCCCACACTGCCCTCAGGGTGGCTTAGATCCCTCTTCTCCACCTTCCCCTCGCTTTGTGCTACTTACCGGTGGGTGGCAGAGCAGTTTCGGTTTGTGCTGAGAAGGGTGCAGGGTAGAGGGAGTCCTTGGATTTCCCCCCCCCCCCATGCATGCAATGCATCTTCGGTGCCTGGGTCCCCAGCCATGACAGATGTAGTGCCCATTTGCAGGAATGCCCTGTGTCTCCATAGCCCTCTCCCACACCCAGTCTACTAGGGCAGGAGTCACCAACATGGTGCCCAGGGGCCCTTATGTGCCCACAGAGGACTTCGCTGACTCCTGCAGGGTCCCCTCCTCCTGAAACTAAGCCTGGAAGAAGCATTTTGTTGCGGCCAATTGAATATTCTATTCTATTCACAGGCCTCCTGCACAAGGGACTAGGCACTTGCTGCTTCTTCCTGTAGGTAGCGGCAGGGAAGGTCTGTTTTTGTGTTGGTTAGGGTGCTAGGATTTTTGCACCCCCAATCACGTCAGTTGCAAATAGTTGCAATTTACTATTTGCAGCATTTCCCTTGTCGGGATTTTTTGTTTGTGTGCCTTTTTGCGAGATAGCTGCAAGGGTAGCGCAGAGTGGCTAACAAATAGGTTGTCAAACAGAGGAACCATACAAACACAGCAAAGTTAGCAAAACACAGGATTTGCGTTATCGCTGAAGAAAACATGTGCAGACTAATAATCAAAGGGAATCCAACCCAGGCATTTGGCACAGGAAAATATTTATGCTGGTTTGTGTGGGAGGATCCTCTGCGACATTCAGATATACTATCAGCGAGAAAAGAATGCTGACATAGGCGGGTGTGCACAGAATTGATCTTTTGTTTAATTTTGAATCAACATGGCTCATAATTAAGCTTCACGAATAAATTTTAGAGATGGGCTGCTGCTAGTAAGAGCTATTAGAAATCCCAGCCAGCTCAAATATTGTTATTAAGAAACAGACAAGTAGATATTGCAGCAGCCTCTATTAACTGCTTGTTGACTTCGAGGCAATCAGATGACGTTTCCCTCTTTCTTTTTTTAACGCTTCCTGTGGGGCTTAGGGATGTGTTTATGTACACATAAAACTACTACACCCATAAGCACAACCCAGAATGAAAATCTGATTTATGGGATTTTCCTATTGCATCAATGCCGGTATCTTCAAGGGGGGAAAAAATCTACCAGAATAATTAGAGCATGGTAGTTATGATTGTTTAGTTATAAATTCTTCTATCAAACAAATGTATGTTTGTGTGACTGCTCTCCACATCCCATGCTAATCTTCCCCTTTGCTGGATTTCTTGCCCTTTAACAAAGCAAAAGGAAAAGAAAGCAGGGTGTTCAGGAAAGCAAAAGGGTTTATTCAGTGTTTCTTATAGTAACACCATTCATCTTGGGAAAGTCTTTGTTGATTGTGCCAACCATCTATAGTAATAAATGTACAGGAATGAAAATGGTGGTGTTCCCATATCCCAGAGAACACTAAACTATTGTCCGGTTAACATGGAGGCCACGGCCTAATAGTTGCAAGGAGTTTTTCTGGACAATGGAAAATGGTGTCCATGCGTCATATGACCTCTTTGACCAGTTAAACAGCAGAATTTGTAAATGATTTTCATTCAGCCGGGGTTGTAGGAAGGGTATGAAGGAATATGGAAATTGTAGCTCCAGTTCCAATATAAAATATGTGTGATTCGATTTTTAGTGTGTGTCACTTTCTATCTCGCAAAGGATAAGGTAAGTCTACAGTGGACACTCCTCCAAAAGAACACTGTCCAAGCCTGAGCAGAAAAAGCTATGCTGGACTTTCAACCGCTGTTGAGGGGAAGAAAACTGTGTCTGCAAAACTTTAATTGAAGCAGAGTTGCCAACCTAGCAGAAGATTGGGAGGGGGGGTGATGGCACACACATTACGTGTATGTGACACAGGGATGCCGGGAGGTGCCAGGGAGTGGAGCCAAACATGGCGGCAGTATGGCTTAAGTGGCTGGCGGCTCCTTCTCTCTGGTACTCAGTCTCCACCTCCTCCTCTTTCTGCCGCCACCAGCCCAGGGCTGCTTCCCCACTCCTTCCTCTCTGTGGCAAGAAGAGGAGGAGGAATCGTCAGCCACTGAAGCTGTGCCATGTTCAGCTTCACGCTCAACCTCCTCTGCCCCAATTGCTCTCAATGTGGGGCGACTACCCCTCAAATATTTTATTGGGATCTGGGCCCCTTAGAGTTGGTGCCTATGAACTGAGGCCAAAAATAATGGCTTTAATAGGACTACTCTAATGCATGTTGGTTAAAAAAACTACATTGTGTGGTAAAAAGTCAGATGGGCAGATCATATAGCACTGTTTTGCAAGTGCAGCTTCGGCAGGGCTAATGCTAGGATAGCACAGTCAAGATCCTATGCTCTCTGGGCAGCAGAGTAAACAGTACCTGTCAAAACAAAAGCTAATGCAGCAATAATAGGAAGTGTTCACGCAGTATTGCTGGAAACTCTGCAGCCTGTTGCTAAGGCCCCCAGATAGCTCAGTTGGTAGAGCATGAGACTCTTAATCTCAAGGTCATGGGTTCGAGCCCCATGTTGGGTGAAAGATTCCTAAATCGCAGGAGGTTGAACAAGATTGATCCTCATGGTCCCTTCCAATTCTACAGTCCTACGATTCTATATGATAAAGTTATACATGTATGGACTGCACCATCCAGCCTCCAAAGGTGGCCAAACAAACAACCACTGAGTAGAGAAGAGACTACAGCTCTTTCCACAGTACTAGCTGACACCGTGCTATAACGAAAAGCCAGCAGGGAGAACCCATGGCATCCCAGGAGAAGGTTCTGAGTCCTGCTATGGGAACGGTGCCTTTGTGCGGAGACGCTGTTTCTATAATGCTGCACACACCACACTCCTGCGTTGCTGTCTCTCTGGCAGTGGTGCAGTTGGGTTATTTGTGACTCTGGATTTAATGGAGCTTCCTCTTTAGACAGCAGTTCACTTGCTTCAAAATGTGATCAGCCAGCCCTGTCCTGAATTTGGAAGTCCTCCAGCTCGGCTAAGCAGGGCCCTGGACCTCTGCCCCGATGTCCTGTCCTGACAGCGCCACTGCCCTCTGAGGAGGACCAATACTTGCAGAGGCAGAGAGGCACATGCATGAGGGACGGATGGAAAAGATAACAGCAAGCACACAGCAGGTAACTGTGCACAAGGCTTTGTAGCTAATGGGGGGGGGGTCAATGCAACTAGGAACAGGAGGCGTAGATTCAAGTCTCATTTGAGCAGATTTTAATCCTGCTGCCTCAAGGCTTGAGGAGAGCAATAATTGAGGGTCCTGTGTGGAGCTGTAGCTCAGTTGCAAAACCCATAGATCAGAAAGAGGGCTTTTGGAATAGAAAAAGGAGCTCAGAGGATTAGAATGATTAGAATAGTGTGTTTGGCACCATCATTATACAGCTTTTGGCGAATGCTGAAGATACATCTCTTTACTGTGACTTGAGGTGTATATTTTTAGGATCCACCTTAATTTTGCAATTTTAAGTCGCTTTGAACTTTTTTTGTAATATTGTGCAATATTGTATTTTAATGTTAAAGTTGTGTTTTAAATGTTGTAGCTTGCCCTCACAGGCCAGTTGTCTAATTGAGACCAATCTAGTGTAACCCCAGGAATATGGCTTTCCTACTCAGTCCTGGCTCCAGGATTTTGGAGCCCTTGGACAGATCACCCACAGTGGGGACATCCAACCTGGAAGACGTGGGGCATGCAAACTGAGATTTCTCTTAGGCTACATATGACCCTTTCAGATACTTTGTTGAAATGTGAAAATGGGAGTGCTGTTAGGACAGTGGGCCCTCTGCTGGTCTTGGGTTTGCCATGCCCAACCTTGTCACTGACTGAAGCTTGTTGTCCTGTAGGCAAAGGTAAACAATTATTTTTAAGATTTTTTTTAAAGGGGGAGGAAAGGGGCAAGAGAGCTATGGTCTGGCTCTGAGCCATCCCTTCACAACACCCAAGGGAAGTAGCTGTCATTCAAGCCTTACCCCGCACCCTCCACTATGAGGAGAATAAAGCTCATCTACCTCACAGGCTTAATGCCTGTGAAGTACTTTGAGCACACAAAAGCACAATACAAAATTGCAAATCAGGCATGGGGAGCCTGTGTCCCTTCAGATGGGCTACAACTCTGGGCTTGTTCACAGTAGCATTTACTGTGTGTTTAATGCTCTTTGTCCCTGAAGTTTTTAACCATTGCCCACACGACAGTCTCCACCACTAGCCCCTATCTCACTCCTTTTCAGATCTCCCCTATCCAGGGATAATCCAGATATCGAAAAATACACCCAAAGCCAATCCGCTTTTCCCTTGTCACCAGATGCACTGCTTCGGTGTTTTTCCCAACCAGGGTGTGCCTGGTTAAGGAGAAATCCACATCCCCTACTACTTCCTCTGCTGCTCATTTGCTTTTCAGTACCTATTACACTTAACATCCCTGACCATTGGCCATGCCAGCTGTGGCTGATCAAACTGGAGGCCACAAGATCTGGAAGGTCAAAGGTGCCTGAATCCTGTTGAAAATGGAAAGGACTATTACTAGGTCAAGAAAGGACACTTTGTTCTCCATATACCTTAGTCTGGGTGTGGGATCCAGCTCATTATATATGGCTCTCTCATGGCTATGAATACTCAACTGAAGGCCCTTTCTTTTGTTGACAGTTTCCTTGTTTGGCCAGTTTTTTTCTTTTTCTTTAAGTAGTCACAGCAAGCAAAGTCAAAACCTATGCGTGCAGGACCTTCAAATCTATTAAACGAGGCAATAGTACTAATTTTTGAATGACAAATATTTGCCCTACTTCCTGGATGATCTTGATTTTTAGATCCACACCCAAAAGTAGAACATACTATATTCAGGATGAAGAATGGCCTCGGACTTACCTGCACCTGAAACTTGAGCTGATTTTTATGACACAGGAAGAGATTGGATACCAATCGCGTTATGTCACTTACCAAAAATCAGGGTTCATATCAAATATATCCTTGGCGCGCTTACAGCTATGTAATAATGTCCAGCAGCTTCAGGTGCCCTCCAAAAAGGCCATTTCTAAAAGCAAATACACGAAGATATGTCGGTGTGACGTTTCGTTCCTGCCACTGATTTGTACTTTCGGTGCGTGTGGTGATGACCTTTGCTCCATTTATTTTCAGTTTGGTTTCCGCAGTCGTTGATCCCTCCTTTATAAATGACAGCCCAAGAACCAGTTCCATCTAGAGTCCGGCGACACATTTATTTAAACCTGGCTTAAACTGAAGCAGAGTATGGGGGGTTGGGGCTGGCATATATATTGGGGGGGGGGGCCGCTTCGGGTGCGAGGAGAAAGGGAAAGCGCCAAGTCACGAGCCAGCCGTGCGAAACCCCCTCCTCCAGCAGCGCCACAGGCCCCCTTGCCTCTTCAGCAGCGGGTAGTTCCCCGTCCCCTTAGCAACAGTTGCTGGAGGCGGGGCTGCTATAACAACAAGCAGCTGCCAAAGCGAAAAAGCTCTGCGTCACATCGCCGCTTTTTGTGAGGGGAGGGTGGTGGTGGGGGAGGAGGAGGAGAAGACCCTGGCTGCGCCTTTTCGAACTACAGCTCCCATGAGGCCTTGCGCGCAGCGCCTGCGCGGAGCCGCGCTCTGACGCGGCTCCGCAAAAGAGCAAGGGGCGGAGCCGGAGTGTGTCTGTGTGTGCGGAGAAGGGGGGGAGTGGGGGATGGGGGCGCTGCCAGGTCCGTCTTTCCCCTGCCGTGTCCCCTTTTCTCAGCTCGGCGCAGACGCCATGTTGGTTTGAAAGGAAGATGACAACAGGCGGCTGCGGGAGCGGCGGCGGCGGCGGCGGGCGGCGAAGGGTAGCCGAGAGCGGCTCTCTCTGAGGGGCGGGGAGGGGTGGAAAAGAGAAGCCGAACTATTTCGCTCTTCGCCCCTCTTTTCCTCAGAAGCGCCGGCTTCCGAGGGAGGAAAGAGAAGGGCGAGCAGCCCCGCCGCGTCAGCTGAGGGGGGTTTCCGCTAACCGCCTGCTGCCGAGGGAGCCCCTGGAGGACGGCGAGGAAGAGGCGGCGAAGGGTCTGGAGAGAGAGGAGCGGCGGCGGCGGCGGCGGCGATGAGGAGAACAGAGACCTGAGGAAGGAGAGGCGGAGGGGGCGGCGAGCGCTGCTGCTGCTAGAAGAGGCGACTGCAGTTTAAATCCCCCCTTGAGCTGCTGCTGCTGCCGCCGCCGCCGCTGCAGTTTGAGGGGGGAGAGTGTCGTTTCTTTTGACGCCCCCCTCCTTTCCCCCCACCTCCGCCCTCCTTCCCCGTTCGGGTGTTTTGTTCTGGTTGTTGGTTTGTTTGTTTTTTTGCAAAAAAAAGAATAAACGTCTAAAGGGAACCGAGAGGACCGAGAAGAGCCCGCCCCAGTCTCTCCCTCAGCCTTCCTTCACTTGGAGAGAATCGGTGGGTGGAAACGAAAAAAATAAAATAAAAAACCACCCCCAACAACTTCGGCTCCAGGGAAAGAGGAAGGTCGCCTTACTTCTCTCTCTGCTCGGAGTGCCTGCCTGCCTGTCGCTCGTTTTAATGAGGAGGTGACTCGGGCGCAGAACTATCCTCTGAATCATCCTCGTCATTCATTATTGGTCTAGGCTGGAGAGGAAGAGCGAGAGGGGGAAGAGAGAAAAAGCCTGTACACAATTCATGCCCTTGTGTATTTCTTTCTGGTCTACCTGGCACCGCTGGTGTTGGTGTTTGTGCTGCTGACGACAAGGATCTGCTGCCATCTCTGGTTTCCCTGGTGTTTCCGATCGAGCCTTTCAACACCAGTTCCTCTTTGGATTTTGATCCCCTCGATCCACAGTTTCCTTGCCGTAGTTTAGGCGAAAATAAATCTCAGAACTTAACAGACGCACACCAAAGATTGGTTAGCTGGAAGGTCGTCTTGGCTGGCTGGCTTTTTTCTAAAAAAGAAATATTATTCTGTACTTTTTGAAACCATCAGGGTAATATCAAGATGTCTAGCAGTGTTCCATCTGATATGGTAAGTTCACGTTGACTTTGTTTTCAGAATTATAGTGGGGAACTGAGGTGCCCTTTTGGAACAAGATAGATGTGAGAGTGAGAACCATCTCTGTTGTACTAGAGTGAATTATCAGTTTCATTACTGTATTTGACTTTTAAAAATGTTTTAGATTCTAGCAAGGGAAAAAATGGGATACAACATGAAATGAAACTACTTTTTTTATCAGTGGTTCTGCACTTAAAGCTAGTTTTAAATCCTGCCATTTTCTTTCAACTTCCCTTCATTCTTTTTTACTACTTGGCTGAAATGGGTTAATATTCTTTAACAGTTCCAGAAGGCCATCATTAGACATTGTATCTTGGGGACAAGAGTTCTCTACACTCCAGCACTTCTTATGCCAGGCCCTTTTTTGAATTGATATCGGACACCCTATTTCAGTAAAGTGTCATGCCAGTAACCTATCTGGACTGTTTTGAAATCGAGAGAAAGAGGAAAGAATATAGATTTGAGAGGGGACTGCCTACAATGTATACTAAGAACAAGCAAGTCTGGATCTGTGAATTATTTTGAAATGGAGATAAAGTTAACTTGATTGTCCCTTTATGTACTGCATATATGTTTTTTCTTATGCATGAGTGAATTTTCTCATATGTCCTAAATATATATGTCATGCCATTTAAAGATAAACGGTTATGGTTTCTGAGCCCTAATGTGCCATTCATGCTCTGTATATGTGTCTAATTAAGCTTTCAGGGCCACAGTCTATGCTTGGCATTAACATGGTTGTTTTTGGCTCTGCATAACAGGAAAACAGTAATTTGTGACAAAGGCACTACTTTAATAACATTTATCTGTAGCTTAATAAAGCATTTTGCTCCAAGTAACTTTGGCAAAATATTGGGGAGGGGAAATCACAAACAATATAAAGCATATTGTTGATTCTCATGTGCTAATCCTTTTATTTGATGCTTTTCTTTTGGGCTTGTAGCAGATTCTTAGCTCTGATTGATTTGCTTCTGATATCTGTTCAGCTTCAAAGCATTTTAAAAAATGTATTCAGTAATAAAACAACAATAAAATAATCACTAAAAGCTGTAGCTATGATCCAGTCAAGAAAAAGAACCTTTTAGGCTGCAGTCTAGTACACACTTACCTGGGAGTAATTCTCATTGACATAAATGGGATTTGTTTGACCGTGGACATACACTGATAACATTGGGAAAGTTAAGCATAAGCTTAAATTTAACTTCCATTGAAATCAATGGAACTTATATGTATTTAATGTGGACTGAATGCCATATGGGTTTGCTGATGCATCATCGTCAGTAAAATCTAGTTTTGAAACAAACATTAATTCTGTTTTGTTGACTTCAACTGTTTTGTTGACTTCTGCTGAAGGCTCTGAGCTTTCGGTATGGACTTTGTATCTTAATAAATAGGTTGGTGGTCAGTTTGGTCATTGGTATGAGAACAACAAATTGCCTTTTTTAATCTGTTGCACTTCCTGGTTCTCAAACTTAAAAATGCTTTCTGGTTTTTGAAGCAGTTTTTTGGGGGGGTTCACAACTTTTGTAATTCTTCAGAGATGCACATGCAAGTATACTTATTTGGAAAGCCAGACTGTAAAATATTGGAAAATTGTTTAGAAAGCGCTTAGAAAGAACCTTTGAAATAGAATACTAATTCAAATATTACTCTCATTACACAAGCTCATATTGAAATTAGAAGTTCAAATGCCACAACTGGAAGTGATTGCTTCTAGGCTTTCTCTTTGAAGCTTGGAAATTTAGTAGTTTACATTTCCATAGCTTCAGCCAATGAATGGTTGGAATGCAGGTGATAGTCTTTCCCTGTTAGTTGCAGTGGAAAGAAGTGTCATAACCAAGGTTACATCACATTCAGAGAGCTCCTGTCTTATAAAATCTCATTGCTTTTATCATATGAGGAAATGTAAAGCAATTGTTAAAACAGTTTTTGAAACTTACATATTTTCAGGCTTGGGTAAGAGTACAGATATGTGAAATAAAACAGGGAAATTCTTATCATGTATACTAACAGGTTTTTCCCCCCCATATAAAAGGAGGGAAAGCAACTTGAGATCATAAAGGTTATATGGATGACCCAATCAACACATGCACACACATACACATACATAACCATTACAGAACATAGAAACTGCCTTACACTAAGTCAGACTTGGTCCATCTAGCTTAGTTTTGTCTACACTGATGGGCAGTAGATTTCAGGCAGGATTCTATCTCAGCTGTACCTGGAGATGCTGGGGATTGAACCTGTGACCTTCTGCACATAAAGCAGATGTTTTACCACAGTGCTTTTGTCACTTCCCCATGATGTGATGTCAGAGGTTGTTGTAGGGCACCAAATAAGTTCATCTAATCAAATTGTGGTGGATGGTGCTTCACACTTCTACTACTCTATCCCCTCATTTAATATGTAATTGCAGTGATGGACTCTTAATAATTTTGCTTAAAAATAAGTGGGCATGGCTTTGGTATGCTGAAATCTTTGATCTTTCTTTTCAGTCATGTTTGACTTCCTCCTTCAACTGCAGTCATTTATTTAGCTAAATATTTCAAAACATTAGTCCTACAGTGATTAACGTAATCCTCTATCATTTACATTTTATTTACATATCGTGATTGCTGTAAACTAAATTCCAGACATACCTATATATGGTGTATTGTTGATGTAGCAAGAGGATGTTGATAAAAGATAGGAGCCTAACAAAACTTGAATTGATTCCATTTGAAGTTCCCTGAACTTCATTATTGTGTCTGCACATTTATGCTGAAAGAGAGTTACATTTTCTCAATGGAGGCATGCTTCCAACCACTAAAAGGAAGCTGCCAGCACCTTTACCCAAATACCATGCAAATTATGGTTTTATCTGCAGTACTGTGGTGTCTAGAGAAGTGTGTTGGGTGTTAATTTATTGGTGTCAAAGATAGGCAATAGGAAGAAATCTTTATTTCAGTGGTCTTGATGAATTAACTATTAATTTGGAAAATTCTTAAAATGTGAGTGGGGTGCTATAAACATAGGTATCATCTGTAGCCCCCTTCCCTTTTCCCAGTAATTAGTTTTGGTATATAATATTTAAAGCTGAGCGTCAGTAATCTGTAAGCCTCACTCACCTTCAGAGCGAAATGAGCAGAACTATGACCAGTTACTAAGTTGATGTGGTAGCTGGATGTATGCTATGTAGTTCATATATGGCAAGAAAATCCTTCATATCTGGGCTGTTATTTGTAAAGGTTTGGGGGAAGATTTAGGGATAGAATGCATGGTTTAAGATTGTTCATATTGTCTATTAGTACTTAAAAGTACTGCAATGATGAAATTTAAAGATTTCATACAAAAACACCTAGAATACAAACGCTTGCATACAAAGATTGAAATTGCATCTTTGTCAATTTCAGTTATTTTACCCAGCACTAATTATTTTTGGCATAGTGTTATTTTTTGGACTCATTGAAGAGGAAGCATTAAAAGATGAATTGAAATAATTAATGTAATGGTTTTATAGGAAGTGACTATATTATTTATCACTTATTTGAAAATGGAACCAAAGTCCATCTAATCCAGCATCCTCTTTTTCACTATGGCCTACCAAATGTTTCTGGAAAACCAGGGCATGAAAGCAGTAGTCCTCCCCTGCTGTCACTGAAGAGAAATTTGTTCTTAATGGCATACTGCCCCATAACTTAGTTTCTATTTAGACCTATCCCTCATGGGTTTCTCAGCCACTTTTAAACCCTTCTAAACTAGTGGCCCAATATCTTGGTAGTGAATTCCATAGATACAGTAATTTTTTGTTGTTGTGAATTCCATAAGTACAGTAATTTGTTGTTGTTTGAAGTGCTTCCATTTGTAGTATCTTTCCTTTTGCCCATCAGTTGGATTCGGTGACCCTGAGATTGGGAGAATTCTCTGTAAATTTATAAACTCATGTCATCCATTGTATCTTTTTTGTTAAGCTAAAAAGCTTGAAGTGCTTGAGCTTTTTCTCATATGGAAGGTCCTCTGATTTCTTACCTGGCTAGTTACAAAACAGTGCTCAGTGCTATAACAATGATTTCCTCTCAGTCATAATTTTCTCTAATATGATAAGAGAGGGATTTGTAATTTGCCACTACTTTGTTTGCTTAGCATTATATGTTATCAATTTTACTTTCTTACTCCTACTTCTTTTGCTCTTCTTCCCTAAAACTTTAAGCAAATTACTGTCAAACTGTGATAAAGCTACTGGAATTGCTGGTCTGCTGTAGTTTGCAAAATAGCCTAAATATCAAAGTTATAGTTAATTTGGATAAACTAGATATGCTTATGTATGTGGTTAGCAACACTTTTGAAAGCCAGTGTGGTGTAATGGTTAATGTTTGGCTAGGACAGGGGAGACCAGCTATTTCATATCCATATTTCAGAAATTTACCAGGTGACCTCGAGTCAGTCACTGGTTATTAAATCATACTTTAAAAAACAAACAAATCCACAATTAATTTTCAAGTTGCTTCACAGATAGATGATCAAGCAAAGTTTGTCTTATTTCTTACTGACTCCTCATAGCCTGACCAATATTCTGAACTCCTTTGTGGCACCCTGTGACTGGCATTTCCTCACTGTGTTATTATCTCCCTTACCACTGGCCAGCTGTAAGAGTGAGGAAATCTCAGAGTTCTTCACCAACTCTTTGCAACAGCCCAGCATTTCCACATTGCCTCCTGTTTCCCTATCAAAGACTCTCAAAATTCATTGTCGCCAAGAGTTTCTTAACCTTTTCCTACCACTGTTCTGCTCAGCTGCTGTATCCATTATTGCCTTTTCACATCTCCCACCAGCCCCACCTCCTTAACTTTGCTCTGTCTTGGAACTGTTTTAAGGAGCAGTAGCACATTTCTCAGCCACCCATTTCCCCACCCATACTTCACCCATTGAGCAAAACATCCCTACTTTATTAAACAGTTACAGTGCGCAGCAGTTGAAGGAAGAGGTATCTTGTGTAATTGATAATGTAATAAGAGGGGAGTTGTGGGTGGGGTTGGCAAGTGGATATGGTGTAATTCAGCAATGAGGGTGTCACTGGGTGATTTTATATCACTAGTGGTATCTGTGAAAAGTGGAGGCAATGAGAGCATAGATAGCCATTCTAGACAAGGCTTGATTGAGTGAAACTCTGTAATTGGTCCCCTTCTGGCTGGGACGGAAGGAATATTAAAAGAAATGGCATATGTGTACTGTTTATTGGTTAAGCAGGCTACTTTAGATGGGCTTTGGTTTGGGGTAGAGTGGAGCTTGGATGAAGCTATCCAGATGAAGCTGGCCAAAATATAGAAATCTAGCCAATAGAGGCTACATTACATTATGTGTATGAGAAACTTTGCTTTTCAGTAACCCCTAGGTTATCTTTTATTGAGGGTTGTATATGAATTTTTCATTTTTAGATTTTCCTAGTAATCAAGGTGTCTTGGGTTATATAGGTATATCAGATTTGAGGGTTTTAGTTAGTTGGGAAGAACACAGACAAATTTTGGTAACAGAGTTTATTAGAGGTCTAGGTTTTGTTTTTATATCACAAAATACTGATGAATATTCATGCAAAATAAAGCTCTGCATTAAACTTTTTAAAACAGTCCCCTTCATTACCTATAATTAATACCAACGCAGATTTTCATAAAAACAAACAGGTCCCTTATAAGTTCCTCAATTAGTGACAAACATTTAATTTTCCGACCTTGACCCTAGAGAAAATCACTTTATGTCAGTTTTCTGTATGTGAGTAAAATGAAGGAAGTTTCTGATAATATTTACCTGTGTGAGCAGCCATGGACCTGATTAAATGTACACTACTAATTTGATATTACTTGGAACCAGAAGGCTGGCTTTAGAAAAAGCTTTGGTTTGCCATCTAAATTCAAATGAAGCTGGCAGATTAAGCTGCGAGTAGGCAGAGGCTAATATACCAGCTGGGTACCAGAAGAGGCATGCCATTAAACCTCAAATATAGAGTATAAAAATTGATCAGTTCAAAATTCAAGAATTAAGTGTTTCACCGTCTGTGCTGCTAAATCATCTGTAAATGTGGAACCTTTCTGTAAAGCATTTTGTATAGCTAAGTGGTGAGAAATGATACTTTTATAAATTTGTGAAGGCTATTTTTTCATCATAGATTGTGATTTAGATTTGAATAGTTGGAATTAAATCTAGATACATTGAGTAGAAAAGTGCTTATTTCACAGTAGTTTCAAACAACTTTCCATTTTAGTTTACTTCTTTTTAGGGTTGGATACTTCTTCTCTTTTTGCACAAGCATAAGGCATTTCTACACATGCAAAAAATAACATTTTTTGCTGATCTTGCTTAATGGCTACAGTCCTTCTGTAGCAATTTTGTTTCAGTGAGTTTCCCAACCTTAGAGTATAAATTTAGGTGCAAGGGACACCGAAAAGACAAATTCGGTGAGCAGCATAGATGTTAGCATAGGAGCCAAATCCTAGGGGCCTTGGTCCCTTTGGCCCCCCAATAAAATATTTGAGGGGGCCTGGGCTCCCCAAAGTTTATGGGCATTGCCATTCAAATGGTGTGTGTGTGTGTGTCATGTCTTGTGATTGATTATATGGGGCAGGCCTTACCTGCCCCCCATATGTCATTCAAGTTTGCACCCCTGAATGCTAGCATTCAAGCCTATTTTCTTACTGCATTCTGAAAGGCCAAATTTTAATGAACTTGTGAATCTCTCCAATAGAAAGATTGCTAACTTAAGGTAATACTTGCTGGTTTCATTTTTAAAGCCACCAGACAAACTCTAGCACTCAGCTGATTTCTTTTGTTTCAATTGGTGATTCTATGTCAGTTCCATGTCCATTTCTGTGTTTTGGGCCCATCTCCACTTCCACTTGATGGCATCAGGCCCGATCTGACCCCAGTTGTTATACCAGCTTCAGGATGCTCCCACCTTGCATTGTGCCCTGACTGGCATAAGGGACGGGCTGCAGATGTGGCAGTGGCTATGCTGCTGTGTCATTTCCCAATGCTACGGTTTGGATTGCTTTGCCAATCACTAGAATATGTTAATTAACAGAAAAATAGAGCATTCTTTATCAGCGGCTTAGAGGTTTTATTTACAATTGAGCGGTACATAAATTTTGTTCAGTAAATTTACAATATCTAGGAATCTATATTTTATATAATATAGAATTTGTGTTTTCCTGTATATATTGCTTAGTTAAAGTGTAACTTTGGTCATTGTATGAGTGAAGCAACAGTGCTTTTGGAATGTTAACTAGAAGAGACTTAAGTCTCTCACTATGTATATTCTTGTTAAACTGCTTAGATGTCACACATAACTTCTTATATTTATTACAGACTTCTGAGTTCCCTAGGCTGTTCTTAAAACCTAGTAAATCTCATCTTTCCTCTTCATCTCGCCTTTCCTTTTATTAATAGGTTGGAACAGAGATACAAGTTTTCCTGTGCAGAAACAACTAAGGGCATATAACTTTGAGGGAAGAACTGCTAGTTATTTAACAGAGCTATTTATTTTTAGGAGGTGAATAGGAAGCATACTGGGTTAGAACCAAACTGATAGCACAGGCGTATTCATGTTTACTCAGAAGTAAGCGCTACTTCAGTGGGGTTTACTTTGAGGTGAGTATAGGGTTGCAGCCATAATCATTCTTGGAACTGACCCATGACTAAGTATGGATCCAACTCATTGTCTGTAAGTAAATATTCATAATTTGAAGAGACAGTACAAAATACTCTGGCTGAGGGGACTGAGCAGACAATCTTGCCAATTGCAAAGCATGCTGAACATGGCTGCCAGTCTGACTCTGACTTTGATTTGACTCCACTGGATCACCTGGCTGAAGGAGCAACTTGTGCAGAGTTTATTCTTGCAGAATTTTTTAAAAAATGTATGCAAGGGCAAGTATCAGTAATTTGTTTCATTCAAAGATGTTTTCAGGTAGACCTGGAAATATCTGAAAAGGTTCAAAATATAAAATCATATCTTGTTGTTTTTCTAGAGGCCTTGTGCACCTCGGCCTGCCTAGTTCAGTTTGTTGGGCCAACTTCCTGTCAGTCTAAGAGTCTCTAACTAACCTTTTGCTTCAGCTGCTGTAAATTGAGAGAAATTGGGTTGGAGAAGGAAGGATGAGAACCCTGCAGGCCCTGAAGAAAGAGTTGGGGTCTATCCAGTTATATTTTTCTAAACTGAGAGAGAACTAACAGCGAAACATTACTGTATGAACCTAGCAGAACCAGGGCTGAAGGACTGAGCCAGAAGACACTTGGGGCAGAAAACTGTAAGTTCTGGAGACAGTTTTCAGAGTTCCTTGTTAGCTAGGACAAGCACAAACCATGGTCTGTGTCTGGCACTCTACTGGGATGTTTTTAGCAGCAACAGAGGTGGCAGCAGCTATCCTGCTTTTCTTTTTCTTTTTTAACCCATATATATGCCCCTCACCCCTGAGGCCACAAATAACACTTAATACCGTATGGTGTCAGGAGTCACATTGTTTCCTCTGTGAGCTAACAGAAGGCAGTACAGTGGTACCTTGGGTTACAGACACTTCGGGTTACAAACTCTGCTAACCAGGAAGTGGTTGCTCCAGGTTAAGAACTTTGCCCCAGGATAAGAATGGAAATTGCGTACCAGCAGCGCAGCGGCAGCAGAAGGCCCCATTAGCGAAAGCACACCTCAGGTTAAGAACCGTTTCAGGTCAAGAACGGACCTCTGGAACGAATTAAGTTCTTAACCCGAGGTACCACTGTACTGAAAATCTGCCATGCAGTCCCTGTTGACTGCAGCATAACATGGAGCACTTTAAGCCACCAGCTGAGTTCTGCTTAACCCCCCAGTCTTGGTGAAAACTGACAGCTATCAGTTATAGCAGCATGAGTTTGATGAAGCAGCAGGAATAGATAATAACTTTCAGAATGATCCAGTGACCTTTGCACTGGTGTAATTGCCACTGAGTTAGGATTTATATTGTTGCAAGGCCATTGGATTGACCTGTTAGTTACTGTATAGTAGATAATAACTGCTATGGAGAAATGGCCACTAAAATAGGATGTAAGGAAAGGGAAAAAACAATTTGTGTGCATTTGGCTTTTTAAAAAGTTTCTGACTGGATTTGTGGGAAATCTGCTTTTTAAAAAAAACCTGGGAGAAGAAAGAGAGAAGTTCATGAGGTCTAAGACCTATGTAATTTTAGCTTCTCCAGGAACAGTCTTGGGAAGTCTATGCCTGAACTTGCCTAGTCTGATATGTGGCTAGCCTTTGTCTCCTTCTAACTAACATAATGAATGGTGGCATGGATGGCCCTGTAGAATAGATGCTATCAAACATAGAGTGGTGTCCTTTGTTTTGATAGGACTTAAACAAGTATTCGGTGTTTGAGAACTTGCATTTCCAGACCAAACATAGCTAGCAAAGTTGCCAAAAAGGAACATAGTACAGTAAGCCTGCAACTTACGCACATTTAACATTTGCACATTCAGCTGTACACATTTGGCCAAAATCTTTTTTTAAAAAAAGTGGGGGAAATGAGTTTGGCCATCCTACCCATCATTGTACCCAATGTGTTTTGACTAAACACAATTTTGGCTTTATGCGTGATCCCTGGAATATAACCCCTGTGTATGTTGTATTATTGATTAATCTTCAATAAACAAGCATATTCCCTTGAAATGTTCTGTTGTTATTCATTGTTTGATTACACTGTATCTCTGTAGTAGTCAAAGTATGTTCTACAGTTCCATTTGTTTCTACAGATTTTACATGGAATATTTCTGTTGGCATTGTAACTTTTCATCTTTGCTTTTCATCAAGTGTGTTGGAACTTTTTAAAAGCTTCATATAAGCATTGAATTCCTTTTTATTAGTGGGAAAGGCTGCACTGAGAATTTTGCTTAAATCTGGCAATATGGTTTGTACTTTGTATCTGTTCAGCAAGTTACCTCCATTAGAGCTAGCTGCACTGACATTAATGAACAGCCAACAAATAATTGTGAAAGGTCAGCGTCTTGCTAGGGACAATAAATTTTCTTTCCAAATGAGTAAATAGGATATTTCACCATCCGTTCCTTGACACTAGTATACGTGTGGGATGGTAAACCTAAAGCGCTAATGTTGCAGTCTTAAAACATGTTTTGGAAGTAAGTTGCACTAACATCAGTGGTTTGTCTATTTAGAATCATGATCTCAGCCATTGAACCTTATGAGAAAGAATACAGCTCTGGAATCAAAATTGTCCTATGGCTGTGGCAAAGGAATAAATGATCTACAGGGGTATTGCTCTTATTTTTCAAGGCTTAGTGTTAAAGAAGACTGTGGCTGGAACTGTTTTTTTGTAGCCTTCTTGAGACATCTAATTGTTCAAAACCATGTAGCTGCTGCTATCTGTATTTTGACCTTCCTAATGCCATATAGAAGTGACATTGCCCTTTTCTGCTTACAGTTTTCCCCCTGTGGTGAGCGCGCTTTGGTAAGTGGGACGAAAGCATGCCCTGCCTGCAGGTTATTCCTTTTGTGCTTGGCCCTGAGAGAACAAAGTCTGTAAAATGTGTGAATAAAAAGTATATGATTGCTCAGTTGGTTTTAGAAGTAGATTTTTTAAAGAGTGAGAGGAGAGACAGACAGACCACATGTCATTCAGACCACATGTCATTAAATCCTCTGTCCTGAAGCAACATGAACTTTTATGGTTCATCTTGGTTGTCATAGATCCCTTTTAACCTGATAGTGATTTTTTTCTTGTATTTGTATTTTTCATCTTGTCTTTCCTGAAGAGCAAGCTGGGATAGCTCAATCGCTAGAGCATGAGACTCTTAATCTCGGGGTCATGGGTTCCAGTTCCACTTTGGGTGAAAGATTCCTTCATTGCAGGGGGTTGGACTAGATGATCCTTGTGAGCCCTTCCAACTCTACAATTCTTTGAATTATTGTGCACTATAATACATAAGTATATGCATAATGAAATGTTCTAAAAACCCAGACCTTTATTACTGTTGGACGGCAGCTATTGTAGTTGTATATGCAAGCTGGCACAGCACACCAATTTTTCTCTTAAGGCTAGTGGAGCAGATAAGATTTTATGTGAATCAGAATTACACTTGTTTTTTATTTAAGACTTGTGGAAATAAAGCCACGTGACTCTTGATTGCCTTGATTCATAATCAGTGTATAAATACTGCTGTACTCTGTATGATGTTGAGAGGACTTTCTGGCTCTCATGAGATCAGATGTACTCTTCAGGTACCTGAATAATGAGCTAAAGTGAATCAGACGTCATGTGGCTTAATTTACACAACATATTGCTTGCAGCAGTCTTCCCCACCACCCCAATGCTTTAGTATGTTGTCCAAACCCAGGCTTGTAGTTGATCTCTTTACTTACTAACTACAAGCCCTGGGTTCAGACAGCACACTAAGCCAAACTTTGGTACAGGAACTGGGAACTTCTCCAGGAGCCTGCATATTCGCATGGTCACAGTAAACCATATTTTGAATTAAGGTGTCATGTGAACTAGGCCAGCTTTTGTTGGTTGGGTGTGTTCACGCACTAACACACTCAAGCTTACTATATAGTTGTGTTGGCTGTATGTACTGAAACATTTGCTAACCGGAAATGAAGCAAGATGCAATCCAGCCAAAGCCCAATTCATTTAAGAGTTAAGCTTGTATGTCAGGCATGTCCAAAGTCCGTTTTGGGGGCCTAATCAGGCCCGCTGGTTGGTTTAATCTGGCCCCTGTGGCAGTTTATATCCAGAGGTGAAATCTTAAAAAAAAACAAAAACCTCAACAACTTTAACCTCCAAAAAAGCTCAACAACTTCATTCCAAAGAAAAGCTCAATAACTTTGGTTGGCCCTTTGGTCAGCCCTCATGGCCCTTCACTTCATCAAGTCTGGCCCTCTTTGAAAAAGGTTTGGACATCACTGTAATGTATGTTAACTCTTTTTGAAATAAATGTAACTGAAATTATTGAGATATGAAACTCCTAATTTGGCTGGATTGTGCTTGTGTGTAAATTTTTATTAGTGTCAATGCCTTGCTCAAGTGCTTTTCTTTGCAGAATTATTAAGAAATCTTAAATTCATGGTTTAATTATTGTTGGAGTCATTGGGGCTTGAACTGAAATAATCTGTTTTGCAAGGTAACCTGAAAATAGCTTCAATATAGCTTCAATAATAGAGATCTTAAATTTTAATGCCACTAATGTCACTTTCTAAAAAGGGACCTCTCAAGTTCTACAGAACAGTACCTTAAAAGATTTCTAAAAGATTTTGATCAAGTTTTCTGTTGAGATCTCTGTTTGATCAAATCTTGGAAACATGGAAGTTGAGAGCATTTCTTTAACAGTAAAAACTGAACTGTCAAAACTGTGGTCATACTAGACCAGGGGTCAGCAACCCGCGGCTCCGGAGCCGCATGTGGCTCTTTTACACCTTTGCCGCGGCTCCGGGGCGGATACTAGTGAGGGGAGGAGGCGCATTGTGTGCCCCGACACTCCCCACTGTGGCGGGCGTTGTACTGGCTGTGACGTCGCATGGGGGCGGTGCATGCGTTAGTCACACACCGTCCCGACTGCACCTTCCCGCCCGCTGTCAGATTGCGGCTCCGGAGATATGTTTGTTTTAAATGTCGCAATGGTTTTGCGGCTCCCAGTTTTTTTTCCTTTGGAAATGGGTCCAAGTGGCTCTTTTTGTCTTAAAGGTTGCAGACCCCTGTACTAGACCTTATATTCTGGGCTTCTTTACTTCACCTATAAACAATGATGTAAGAATAATCTGACTAGGAATTGGAATTGTTTGCCATGTAACCTGGCAGTGCTTGTTCTATATTGTTGTCTAGAACTTTGTAGTTTGAATGATTATTCTAACAGAACAGGAAGCAGTCTTGAAATTGTGTTTTCCAACTTAGACTGGAAATTCAGATGGATTTTCGATTGCTTTTTGCATGATGGTGAGTGAAAAAACAAAACCTCAGAAATAAGGCAATGTAAGGCAAATAAGGCAATGTAAAGTGCTTGGTTGATGCTGGTTAAAGATCGTTTGGAACATGGAAGTTGCCAAAGGCCCAGTACCATATTTTGAATATACTGAGCTTTGCGAGAAATTTTCTTTAAAAAACATGAATAGGTAAAGAGGTACAAAGAAACCACTGGGTGCTTGATTCTGCTTAATAACTGTATTTGGAAATAGATGAACAATATTATGCAAGAAAATTTGTAAATTTGTTGCTGGCTGTGAAATAACTTCATAATTGAATATGTCTAATTCAAATAATGGCTATATCTGAGGTAGAAAAACAGTAATCATTGAAAAGTTAAAATATTTTATTCTCACATATAGGAAGCAATCCCACCCCCAACTCTGAACACTAATATAAAAAGAAGCATTCTCAATATAGCATTTCCTCCTTCACATCCACTTATTTCCCCATAAGCCGCCTTGTTATATTTTCGCCACAATGTTTCATTTCCCATTTGTCTGTGATGCTTAAAGCCCCTCCGCCCAATCAACCTTGCAGGAAAATTCACAAGACAATCAAAAAATGCAGCCAAATGGTTTGGAGAGAGATTATTGAGTGAAGGCAGAACTGCCCAACTCCTATTTTGTCTTCTCTGATAAAGGGAACTATGTGCAACCTTGCCTAAGTAGTTGATTGAGGGGTCAGGACTGCAGTTCAAGACTGAAATTCAATAATGGACATTTGGAGAAACTTCTTAATGGTGAGCAGTTAAATAATGGAACTAATTACATGAGATAGTGGTTGCTCTCCCTTGCAGGAGTTCTTCAAGCAGAGGCCGGGTAGCCATCTGTTGGGAATTCTCTTGCTTTGAATTTCCTGCAGAGGGCAAGGGGTTGCATTAGATGGCCTATAGCACTCCTTTTAATGCTTCTAAGGGTAGCCCTGAAGCAGTTGACAATTATGAAGCAGAAAGTTACTGTTTGGAATGGGGGAGGAGGGGCTGCAGCTCAGAGACATAATTAAGTCTGCCAGGTTGGCTGCTTTGAGCTAATGATGCTCACCTTTCTCACTTCTTCAGACAGCAGCTTGCAAAAGTCTTAAGCAGAAGCCTTTCCCAACACCAGCTATTTGAGTCTTTTTATTAAAAAATGGAGGTGTCACTGATTGAATCTGGGACCTGAGGTACCACTTTAGCTAATGGGGCCTCCCACTGCCACCGCCACATCACCGCCGCACGATTTCTGTTCTCATCCTGAGGTAAAGTTTTTAACCCAAGGTACTACTTCACGGAGTCTGTAACTTGAAGTGTTTGTAACCCAAGGTACCATTGTACCATGTCTTCTTCAGCATCCTGTTTCCCAGAGTGGTCAACCAAATGTCTATGGGAAGCTTCAAGACATGAATGCTGTCTCCCACAGTTGTTCTGTAGTAACTTATATGCAGACATACTAGGCTCTGATCCTGGAGCCGGCATATAGCCATCATAAAAAGCTAAAGGTACCCCTGCCCGTACAGGCCAGTCGTGTCCGACTCTAGGGTTGTGCGCTCATCTCGCTTAAGAGGCCGGGAGCCGGCGCCGTCCGAAGACACTTCCGGGTCACGTGGCCAGCGTGACGAAGCTGCAGCTGGCGAGCCAGCACCAGCGCCGCACACGGAAACGCCGTTTACCTTCCCGCTATAAAGCGGTACCTATTTATCTACTTGCACTTAGGGGTGCTTTCGAACTGCTAGGTGGGCAGGATCTGGGACCGAACGACGGGAGCTCACCCCACCGCGGGGATTCGAACTGCCGACCTTACGATCAGCAAGTCCTAGGCACTGAGGTTTTACCCACAGCGCCACCCGCGTCCCCGTAGCCATCATAACTTTTAGCAATTGATAGTTCTATACCATATGAAGGAAGAATGCAACCTCATGTGGTTTGAGCATATAGTTGAGAACCATGGTTCAATAGCCATTCTCTCTCTTCCTTGAGCTCTTCTATTTCAAGAACATAGTTACTGACTATGGTAAGGAAGGAGGAATAACAGAATCATAAAATTGTAGAGTTGGAAAGGACCACGAAGGTCATCTAGTCCAAACCCCTGCAATGCAGGAATCTTTTGCCCAATGTAGGGCTGGAACCCACAACCCTGAGATTAAGAGTCTCATGCTCTACTGACATATCCCCCTCTAAAAACATAGCAGCAAGCTGTTTTTTTCAGCAGAGTGGATGTGGGAATAGATCTTGTATGTGAGGAATGGATATAACAAGAGGTGCAGAGAAAGTATTTTAAAAAAAACCCAACACCTGCTAAAACTGTTAAACTTGTATGAACCTTCTGAAGAGACTATAACTTAACCTGTTGGAGTTCTAAGAATTTCTAACTTGCTTGACTGCATTTATTTAAAATGTTTTGATAAAGACCCTTTTGCAGCTTTTTTGCTTGTAGCTGTTTGTTCTGTTGGAGTAGCTAGCTGTACACTTTGTGCTTTCTGACCCAGATTTCTTATGCCTGGGGTCTAGGAAACTGACTTCAAATGAATAAGCTAAGAAAACCAAACTGTGTTCCAACACTTAAAACATTCTGTTATGCTCTGTCTGAATATTAATAACTACAATTTCACTGACACAGTTATACTGAAAAGCCTTTAATTTTTTTAGTAATCTTAAGATCAACACAATGGGGTCATGTGTGTATCATCCTCAGCAATTCATCATTCCTATTCTATGTTTAATGTACTATTTTGGGCCAAATTATGTCCTCCAAGCATTTCTTGAGCCAAGGAATTTCCTTCTGAACCAGGCTGTTGTCCTGGTCTAACTTTCCTACACCACAGTGTAGCATAAATTCTTGTTCATGGTGTGCTCCAAAAGGTGCAATTTGGGCATTGTATTTTGTTGGGCATTACTGAGCAATGGAGGATGGTAAATGTTCTCGGACTATAGTCAGCATTATCTTATTGCGGATCATTGTTCCTAAAATTATCCTAATCAATGTCTTCTAGGGGTTTTGCCATAGTTCTTCAAGCTTTGGCTACTTGAATCTCCTTTCAATTTTTTCATGTCTCATGTAGTTAGATAGTATTTGATACTGCCCCTTTGAAGTTAGCTTGGTACTTCCCAGGAAATCTCTCTACTCATCTGTAACATTTCCTCTGGTTAGCAAATGCAGGCAACTCCCTATTTACGCAGGTGAAACACCATTGGAAAAGCCTGCAAACACCCTCTAAACCTCTGGAAGCTCTTGAAAAACCCTTTAATAAACCAAAAGCACTTACCAGATGCCACATTCCACCACAGTTGCTCCCTCCAAACCTACTTGCTCAAACTCCAGCTCTCCACAGGTTTCAACAGTCAGTGCAAGGGCTTCTGGGATTGCAGCTGTAAAGGCTCGTGTGTCCACACCTTTTTTTTATCCTTTCTGGGCTCTTTTAGGGCCATTTCAGCCATTTTAAAAGTCACTCCCGGGTTCTGTGCAGTGCACACAGTTGCAGTCATACATCATTGGACTCACATAAATTGGTCTTTGCCTGTAATGCTAACCCATGGTTTGTTTAACAAAACTATCTGTTTATCATAAGTTCTCCCACAGATGATCTAGCAAACTATGACTTGTTTTTCCAAACTTGTCTTCTGTTTTCCAGCTGCTGTTTGTAGTTAGGTGAGTGTCTGGGGTGGAGTGGTCAAATAAGCCATAGTTAATGAAGAGTACTGTGTTCACATGAAACAGCAGGCCATAGTTAAAACAAACCAAGGTTTGTAAGCAAACAACAAACCATGACTTCAGATCATGGTTTGTTGGCTGTAAACAAGCTATACAAACTGCTGGACAGGCTTCAGCCATAATGATAAACAATTGTGTAGCACTATGTGTGACCCAGACTAATAGTGGTTCAAATTGATTATCCAAACTCGAGTACTAGAGGCATATGTTTGATCTCCATACTTTAGACTAAAGTGTTGTGTCTTACCATTTTTCTGGCTGGATGTTCACTCTTAATTTGTGCCTATATTATGTCCACTACTTAATTTTTTCTGATTAAGTTGTTTATAGTTTTATCATCATTTTTTTAAATGTGCAAGCTACATTTCCTCAATTATATAGGATCAGTCAGTAATACATTTGACAAGTTTGTGCAGGAAGAGATTCAGAATTGAAATGGAAATGAATTGAAATGGAGAAGAAGATAGCTTGTGAATTCAGGGTCTTGTGACTTAATAAATGACTCTTAACAATGATGTGGCTGATATTTACCAGAAGTAGCTTTTTTCTCTCTGGAAAACAAGCCATACTGCTGTTACAATACCCCATTCAGTTTCCCTCGTTGCACACAGTTGCATAGTGCTGCTGCTGCTGTACAAATCTCCATTTTATAAAAAGATTGGAGGCCTATGTTAGTGTGAAGCTTGTTCTGTTACACAACTTGAAAAATTAAAACAGGAAGCTATAGCATTATATACCAAATGCTTCTTTAATATGTTCGGCTATTTTCCCTTGCCTGCTTTGCCTGCTTTTTAAGTCTTCTGGACTGGAAAATGGGTATTAAAATTGCTAAAAGTATGTAGAAAACTTTCTAGTCAGTGGTAGAGATGTTCTTCCAATGTCATGGGAAGGATTGAGGTGGTACAGAAGAGCCTGCTATTCTGGGATTAGATCAGTATGTTAGCTAGGTCACAGATTTGCAATCTGATGCTCTGTGCTTCTCCTGTCCTGTTTAGGTATTCAGGGACTGATGCACCACATGCTATGACTCTGTAAGCACTGTATACAGCGGGGCTAGAGCCACTCTATCTGTCTCAAGCCTGGAACTGGTGAGGTTGGTGGCATTAAAGGCTGGGCCAAACTACTTTTCCCTGCCCTCACACTTGCTACACAGCTATGGTGGCTGTTGTTGCTGAATGTCAAACAAGAAGAGCGGCATGTAGAGAAGACCATATTTGCATCCTGTCTTTTGCCTTCTTTCTTGCCCACATGCACAACTTTTTTCCTCATGCAAACAAGGCTTAATTAAACCCTAGTCTACACCACAGCAGTTTCAAAGTCAAGTAATGTAACGTGCAAAAGTTTCTGCTAGTGCATACAACAAGTTGCTGCATATGTTTTTGTTGTAACAAAATTGCTCCTAAGAGTGAGTACTGACAAAATAGTAGCCATCCAGACACTACTGGGAAGCAGTAGGAAGGGTTTGCGAATACAGTGGTACCTCTGGATATGCACACCTCTGGTTGCGTATCCTTCAGGATGCGAACGCGGCAAACCCATAAGTATTTTTCCAGGTTTCGCCACATGCGCAGAAGCACTCTACCGCCACGCGCGCATGCGCAGAAGTGGTCCCTCCGGTTGCAGAAACCTCGGGATCCAGCTGGAGCTCCGGAACAGATGCTGTCCGCAACTGGAGATGCCATGTACCTGGAGCAACCCCCTGGAGTTTTCAGAAATGCAGAAGAAAAAAATTTTTTTGTGGGGAGGCAGATGGAATCATAGAATCATAAAAGTTGGAAGGTACCCCCAAAGGCCATCTCGTCCAATCCCCTGCGATGCAGGAATCTCAACTAAAACATCCATGACAGGTGACCAACAAAAACCTCTGCTTAAAAATCTCCAGAGAAGGAGAGTCCACTGTCCAACGGCTCTTACTGTCACAAAGTTCTTCCTCATGTAATGTTCTTCCTCATGTAATAGGGACAGCATCCCCCAAACATCCCAGTAAACACTGAGCATACTTAGTGGCTATAGAACATTGAGTGTCTGATTGGGGGTGGGAGATTAGGACTGGAGTATTCTGAAGGAGGGCACAGTTGGCTGGCTAGAACCCTGAACAGGCACAGCCCACATTGCAACATTTTGTTGCTAGTTCCATTTGTGTTTCTTGAATACATTCCATATGATTGCTCACAATCTGAATTACATGTGCACCCCTGACCAGTTCCAGTTTTTACATATCACAAGCTTAGGCAAGTCTGGGTTTGGTTCATTTTATATTCCATTTGAAAATTGTTGGTATTTTCCTCATTGAATCTGTCTGACAATATAAGCTTTTTGATAATATCCAGAGATACAGGAGTGTTTGTTTTGTGATTCAGTACTAGTAAGGGGCACATTAATTAGTCTTCACAATCTCACAGTACTTATTTTAATTGAGTCTCTCTCTTTCTCTACCTGTCTGACCAATACACAAAAAATCTACACAATTGTCATCCTAGTGGTAGGTCCTGCACTTTGAAAATGTGTCAATGATCACTTCAGTATTGCCTCACCTGATGTATGAATTCCAAGTGGAGGTTAGCCAGGCTTAGTTGCAATCTCAGGTAGCATTGTGATAATACATATGTATATGCATGCATGCATGCATGTATATGTATGTATATTGCATTACTCTGAGGCTTCTGTGGTCTAGACTGCAGTAGATAATCATAATAGTTCTTTCCTCTTCAGTGTAAATAGCCCCTGAGTGATTTCTGTGACGCATTTAGGGAGGAAGGTGAAGGCTCTTGGCTTAGTGCATGCATCAAAAACTAATTAAGTTGTGAACTGTTACTGCTGAGGCAGATATTACAAACATCCTTAGTTTTAGACAGAGGAAAACCTCTGTTCATTGTTACAATATAGTTTGTTACCATTACAAAACCTGAAATTTTCAGAAGTCTTATGGGAAACTCTCTGTAATGTTCCTGCTTCAGTAATCTTCAAATGAGCTAGCATTTGGGGAAGATAAATGGCATAGCGTCATTGAAGGCCCTTGTGATCTTAGAGTGATTTTTGTATCTGCTCCCCTACTCACTTCAGTCCAAGCACTATGTCATGATATCACATTTCTTCTTGAGTGCCCTGGAGTCCTGAAAAATTGTTGTGCATCTTTTTTTGTTCATGGTTGTGAACAGCAGGTAAAGCTAGACTGTCTTGGTCCAGAATTTGTATGAAACAGCTTGAGGGCGACTAATTTGAATGAGTTAAGAGATCCTAGAAAGCCTACTTACACCTCAGTTGGGGATCAGTTGTTGGGAGGCTAGTCCTTTACTATGCCTAGAGTTTTGAGTCTTGTAATCTGCTGTCCAGTAGCTGAGCACTTGTACAATCATGGGATAAATAACCCTATCTTGAATATTAAAAGTATTTTGGCTCATTTTTTTTCATTTTCTTCTTGTAAATGTCTTGTAATTTTTTTTTAAAGTCTGAGCTTTAAAAGTACATTGTTATTCCATAATGCTTTACTGCTGTTCTAATAAAATCAATTTAATGGAACATTTGAAGCTGTGTTATATGGAGTCAGCTCATTGGCCCACTTAACCTGGTGTTTCCTATTTTAGGAATGGCTTTCAAGGCTCCAAGCAGAGATCTGTAGTGTGCCCACAACTTAATTGTGCAGGTACTCCCCCCGCCCTGCCCTGTCTCCAAAAAATGCTTCTGTAGTTAAAGTATAAACATATCAGTGTGCAATGTCTCTTTGATCCTATACATTAGATTTTTTCCCAACAATGGAGAATGAGGCAGTTTTGCTCAGGACAGGATTTATCAAATAGACTAATAAGACTCTGGCCTGGGGCCCATGTTAAATAAAGCCTGTGGTTTTCATAATATGGGGCTGGTTTTGATGATGCCAGCACTGAAGGGGGGAAAGTTTATTTAATGAATCATTCAGGTCCAGTTTTCATGTGTTCTCTGATAGTGTATAGCAGGCACGTCCAACAGGTAGGTTCTTTATCTACCAGCAGATCACTAGACATCTGTGGTAGATCACTGGTAGATCAGCGGCTCCCCCCAAAGAAGCTGAACAACTTTGGCTCCCCTAAAAAAAGCTCAACATTTTGGCCCTTCACCCCCCAACCCCCCAAAAATGGGCCTTCCCTCCTCCCTAAAAGAAGCTCAACAAGTTTGACCTGAACCCCCCACAACAGGGCTTTTTTGACCTGAACACCCTAAAAGGGGGTAGATCACTGCCAGTCTTTAACTCTGTGAGTAGATCACAGTCTCTTGGGAGTTGGCTACCCCTGAAGTATAGGAACTGGAGTAGGGCTAAGCCACAGGACCAACTGCCATAGAAGAAGAAGAAAAGTTTGGATTTGATATCCCGCCTTTCACTCCCTTTAAGGAGTCTCAAAGCGGCTAACATTCTCCTTTCCCTTCCTTCCCCACAACAAACACTCTGTGAGGTGAGTGGGGCTGAGAGACTTCAAAGAAGTGTGACTAGCCCAAGGGCACCCAGCAGCTGCATGTGGAGGAGTGGAGACGCGAACCTGGTTCCCCAGATTACAAGTCTACCGCTCTTAACCACTACACCACAGGGTGGGCTCGTCATACTTATGTGGATGATACCTACCTCTACTTCTCCATCCTACCTGAAACAGATTGAAGCTGTGATGATGCTGAGCTGTTGTCTGGAAGCAGTGATGGGCTGGATGAGGGCCAGCAAACTGAAATTGAATCCTCACAAGTTGAAGGTGGTGGTGGTAGCTGATTCCTGTGTCTTGGGAATTGAGTAACTAGCCTGCTCTAGACGGAATCTCCCTGTCTCTGGAAGAGCAGGTCTTGTACCTTGGGTATGCTCCTGGATCTAGTATTGTCATTGGAGGCCCAAGTTGCTTCTAACTTGGATTGGTTTGCTAGCTACTGTTTCTAGAAAGAGATAGTCAGGCCACAGAGCTATATGCTCTGGTAAACTTGTGTGTTAATTACTGCATTGCAGTCTGTGTGGGGTTGCCTTAGAAGATAGTCCTCGAATCTTTAGCTAGTGTAGAACACTGCTACTAGAATACTTATTATAACATTTTTGTGGGATCATATTACAGCTACTGTGCAAGATCTGCACAGGCTGCCCATACATTACCAGACCCAATTTAAGATATTAAGGATGCCCTAAATAGCTTAGGATCCAAGTATTTGGTGGACCACCTTTCCCTCCATTAGCCAACCCAGACTCTGAGATCAGTGGAGGGGGCCTTTCTCAAGGACTCACTGGCATGTTTGGGCCTTATTTGAAGTGCCTCCCCAACTATGGAATCCCTTCTGGAGGCATGGATGGCTCTATAACTATTGGGCTACTGACACTAAGTTAAAACACATTTGTTCACCCAGGCCTTTATTGGTGTTGGTTTATTTAAGAGACTGCTGTGATGGGAGTATTATGTCTGCTGTTGTGTTAACTTGAGAAGTGTGATAATCCTATAATTTTAATTGTGTGTGTGTGTGCATTTGTAAACTGCCTTAAGAACTTTGGATGGAGGGCAGCCTATATGTTAAATAGTGATATTTTATAGAATCTTTTGTGCGTGTGCATGAGAATTATTTGATTCTACAATACTAATAAATAAATGAGACATTAATAATAAATTGGATATCCTAGCTCTCTGTGGCACCACTGAGTGACAGCATCACTTGTCACAGGTTGATACAAATTGGCCATATTCTGTTAAATAGCTGCTGAAGCCTTGGAAAACTCAAGACAATAGGTTGGTTGATAGCAAATGCTTGTATAACAAATGCACCCTTCTTTCCTTTAAAAGCACCAGATCTCCTTACAGCTTTGTGTAGTATGTGACAGACAATTTTGAAAATAATAGCCTATTTTCAGTTTCATGTGCATTTAGAGCAGCTATTCCTTGTATACTGAATACATGTTGTATCTGTTGCATTTCTTGCTGCAAAGGGGATGTGGGTGTAAAATTCTAAATGTAACTTGGTTTGAGTGTGCCACAGTTTTCTGAGAAATGGCATATGTGTAATTTCGAATAAGACTGACATTATGAACAGAAGTGTGTGAAAAGTGGTGGGGTTACACTTCTCTCCCCCCCCCCCCAAGAAAAGAAACAAGATTTTTGGAACCTGACAACTTTTAACATCCTGATTTATGGATTTTGAGGTCAGTTTGAACCTCAAAATTTCAGAATTGAAATTTGGCAGAGATTAAAAAAAAGCTATCTTGAATGAAGCAGTGAAAATGTACAATATTGTATTTGCTGAATACTTAGAGGATGTTTCTGTCAAAATTCACAAAAGAGAATTTGGGTGGGGAAACTTGGTTTTTGTTGTTGTTGTTTTTCTAACGAGTACTATAGTAGCATATCTCTCCTCCCCATTAATATTTAGGCAGCACCACTAATGTAATTCCTGAAGAATAAGAAGTGGAAACTTTTGTCAGGCGGACCTTTGTTGTAAGGTTTCATCTTTTTGGTTCTGGAGCCATTGTTTCAAATTATATGCAGAGCTGCTGCCAGTGTGAACAATATTGAGGTAGATGTGCTGAGTCTGTATAAGGCAGCTAGTTCCTAACTGCTTACCTCAATAAGAATAATAAGAATCAGAATAAAATAATTTTTATTCATACCCCACCCTCCCTGGCCAGAACCGGGTTCAGGGTGGCTAACACCAATAAAATTACAATAAAAAGTAATAGGAAAAAAACAAAACAATAACAACAACAAAAAACAGTTACCGTATTTTTCGCCCTATAGGACGCACTTTTCCCCCTCCAAAAATGAAGGGGAAATGTATGTGTGTCCTATGGGGCGAATGCAGGCTTTCGCTGAAGCCTGGAGAGTGAGAAGGGTCGGTGCGCACCGACCCCTCTCGCTCTCCAGGATTCAGGAAGCTATCCGCAAGCCTTGGGAGCTCCGCGGGAGTTCCCGTCGGGCTCCCAAAGCTTGCGGATAGCAGCCTGCATCCCGAAGCCTGGGGCGCGCTGCACAGCGCGCCCCGGGCTTCGTGCAGATATTGGGCAGCCCCACAAGCTTGAGGGACGGCGGGGAGGCGGAGCGCCGCCGTCCCGCTATTCCCCAACCTGGTTTGGAGGCTGGCGCTGGGAGAAGCGCGCTTCTCCCCAGCGCCAGCCCCACGAGCTCTGGGGACAGATATCCGCAAGCCTGGGGAGACCGGCACGACTTCCCGCCGGGCTCCCTAGGCTTGCGGATAGCAGCCTGTTCTGGGGGCTGGGGGGAAAATAAATTTGTTTCCCTTTATTTACCCCCCAAAAAACTAGGTGCGTCCTATGGGCCGGTGTGTCCTATGGGGCGAAAATTATGGTAGTTAAAATACAGGTTAAAATACAATTTAAAATGCAGCCTCATTTTAGTAGTAGCCCATAAATCAGTTTTGATTTATAAGGGAAGGGAAGGGAAACATAAGGGTCAGACTGAGTCCAAACCAAAGGCCAGGCAGAACAGCTCCATCTTGCAGGCCCTGCGAAAAGATGCCAAGCCCCGCAGGGCCCTGGTCTCTTGTGACAGAGCTTTCCACCAAGTCGGGTCCAGTACTTAAAAGGCCCTGGCCCTAGTTGAGACCAATCTAACCACCTTGCGGCTCGGGACCTCCAAAGTGTTGTTATTTGTGGACCTTAAGGTCCTCCGCGGGGCATACCAGGAGAGGCGGTCCCGTAGGTCTTTCTGCTATTTGAGGCTGGATAATGTGTTGCAATACATGGAGCAATCTCCCTGGATATGGGCTGCCACAGATTCAGGTTCCAGCTTGACACTGAAGTTCACAACACAGTGTTGTAGCTATTTGGCTAAATTTATGCTTGACCCAAGCTTTTGATTACATCATTAGAAATGCTGGTTAGTAAAACGCATGTACTGTATATGGCAAATCCAATGTGGGTATAGTACTCACGTAAGTCAACTTGGTGTTTACCAACCTTTTGTTCTGAGAGAAAGATGGACGTAATGCTCTATGAACAGCTGTGCAAAGCTACGTCAGAGTTCATTAATGCAGAGCTTTGCTCCAGGGGAATGGGCAGCATTAGTACCCTTGATCCTCTATGCTACATGTGGCTGAATGTTTACTATGAGCTATATTTAACGCAACCAACTAATTAAGAAAAAGAGAGCCTTCTTGGTCTGTGTTTCATTCATGTCTGGGTTGCTTACTTCTGCTAGAGCAAACCACCACTACAGACGTTTAGGTTGGGCATGGAAAATGATTTTTGATAAAAAGATATTTTACTCTCAAGCGTAATCCTACTTCTGTTTTTGTTCAGTGGCTTAATGGTTTGAAATCCCCCAAATTATAACTAATAAATGATAAATCAGATAAATTATTTGTTATTTTGATTCCCACTAAAGTGAATCCAATATTCCTTGACTTCAAGTGGAAAATTTGTTTTTGCATCTTTCACTATATGCTGTCTGTATAACTTCCAAATCACTTTTGTTATCCAGCCAGTATCATTTCGGCTATGCTGATTCAAACAGCATATTGGGTACACCAGACCTTTGAAAAAGCAGATTTCAAATGTGAAACTTTCTATGAACAAGCATGATCTCCAGCTTGCCTTCCCACAACCCACCCCATTTAAAATAAAATTAAAGGACTGCATGACTATATATATTGGATTTCAACTACCGTAGTTTTCTATATGATTTTTGACAAGGAAATACTTACTTAAATATTCCTAGTCCCATTGCCTTGTCTGTCTCCAGCAACATCTTGGCTATATTCATAATTTTAATGATAGGATTCTTCCTGGACATTTCTTCTCCAGCAAAAAGATTATGTATATCCCTATGTCAGGAGTTATGAAAAACTGGTTTACAAAGTGTCTTGGATTTTAAATGGCTGAAACTGGTTTTACAGAAGATAAATTCAGTGTAGCATGAAGCTGGACAGCCTGACCTAAAAATGATTGGCTGCTGCTATACCAATGTATTTTCACCAGCGTTAGCTAGTCATGTTCCTAGTCCTTGTTGGCAACATAAGCTCACGTCACATGTAAATACCACATATTGTAGCCCTTCTTGACCAAGGGGACATTCAGCTTGAAACCAGAACAGAAATAAGAAAGTTATGTGGGCTGAGGAAGTGGGAGAAAGAGGTGGAAAAGCAGAGTCATAGTAAATAGGGGAGTCTTGAATCTGCTGACTTTGGATTGCTTCTTCTAGAAGGTGTTGAAAGAGAATTTGCTATACAGGCTAAATGAGATTCCTCCCCTCTTTATAAATGTTAATTGAACCTGTTGTGTCTTATTGTTGGTCATTTCCCTTCAAGCGTATTCCCCTTAGTTTCATTAAGTATTTGTGGTTTCCCAGCTTGCCACATTAGTACTAAAAGACGAAATACTTTTAAAGCCCAAGAGGTATGTCATGAAGATATTGTTTTGCTCTTGAGAATTTTAAGCAGGAACAAAAGAATAAATAAATAATAGCACAGTTCATTGTGATTCTGAAGAAATACAGAAATGGATTGTGAACCACATTAAAACTTACATTTTCTCATGTCCTTCTGGTGGTGAAAACACACAATTTGCAATTCATGTATGTGGGTGTGGGTATGTTCTAAACAGATAATGGTTGTAGTAGGAGGGGGAAATAATTCATGATGACCCATAATTCATTAAGCAGTCCACAGCATTGTTAATCTTGCATGAACTTTACATTCCTTGAGATGTAAGTGTGTGATCACTAGGGTATTGTTCTGGTTACAACCAACATAAAAACAGATACTTTCTTTCAAGAATGGAAGTCTCTGACAACCCTCTTTTGCACATCCTTCCAAATAAAAATACGTCTAGCACAGGCTGTTTCAGATTTCACAGTACAAGCAAATGTCCACCAGGTAATCCATGCCCAACAAGTGTAAAAGGTTTTGCTTTTCTTTTTGAAGTTCACAAGTTATGTGGTGATAAGTGTCTACTTCTTACCATGTTTCCATGGAGAGCACTCCAGACTTTCTTATGTTTAGATACCTCTGTCTACACCAGCTTTGCAAGTACCCCTCTCCCACAAAATTACTAGCCTGCCTTTTCCCCCATGTCAGCCTACTGTGAATTGGCAGAGGAGGGACAGAGCTGCAGCAGTTACATTCCTGGGCTGGGTGAGGCAAGAGGGGGCTTCCCTCTTCTGGCTGCCTGCCTGGTTTCTCTGTTGGGCACATTCAACGGCTCACTCACCTGCTTGGCAACCCTTGTCTCATATGGGTACTAGGCTATAGCTTGCAAACAAGGCTGGTGTACGCCACTAGTTTTCTGACTACATTTCTGGCAAAAAAAAAGCACTGTATTCCAGGTAACAGTGCACAAATGCTTTCCTCCCATAGGTTATCCATGTAGGGGGGGGAAATGTGTTTCAGCCCTGAAAGTGCAGTATCTCTTTTCCTTGTAACTATGACATCTAGGTATTCTTTAGAGCAAGGTTTCTCAAACTTGGGTCTCTGGCTGTTTTTGGACTATAATTCCTATCATCCCTGACCACTAGTCTTGCTAGCTAGAAATGATGGGATTTGTAGTCCAACAACAGCTGGAGACCCTGCTTTTGAGTATTTTCAGTATAAAAAGTGCAATTCATATCAGTGTCCCTAAATGTTTATACGTTGTAAACTCTCTGTGTGAGCAAGACCTTAGATTGAGTGTGTGTTCTGTTGCTTTCTGTTTCAAATGCGTCAGAACACTGTATTTGGGGCTGGGAGTAGCGTTGAGCAGGCACATGCTCTGCATGAAAAAGCTCTTAAAGCATCTCCAGGATCAGGTTGCAGGCGGTGATGGGAAAGACGACCGAGATTCTGGGAGCTGCTACAAGTCCATGTAGCCAATGCATTTGGGTAGATGAACCAGTGGTCTGATTTTTGTTTAAGGCAGCTTCATATGGCCATCCAATCTCTTCTCTTCTTCCCTCTTCTCTCTATCTCTTCTGCATAATCTGTCACACAAAGGTTCCAAGGAGGTTTAGTATCCCGAAGAGTCCTTATGCACATGTGGTTTTTTAAAATTATATTTAAAACAGTTACTGTGGGAATGGTAAATATATTCGCTGGCCTTATACTGAAATAATTGCATGATTAATTTTTTTTTAATTTACAAATGCTAGTGTAATAATCAATGCAGTAACCAGTCTGAATGGCTCTATTTCAGAATTGTTTGGTATTTCTGTGATAGCATTCCATTAGACCACAACATACAAACTCAGTAACTTTTGTGTGAGTTAGAGCAAGTCACTTGAAGCCACTTGCTGTCAGGATAGTGCAGTCAGCTCTTCCTTGTACCTTCCATGAAAACCAAAAGGGTCAGTGTGGCAGTGTTGATCTGCTCATTATGCATGGAAGCTGCAAGCACAAGATTTGTTTGCACTTCTGAATCACCACTTGTAATCACATATTTCAAAGTTAATTTTAAGGTGGGAATCTGGTCTCTAATGAAATCTGATAGTTCTTGAAAGTTACATGAGCAAAGTCAAATAGTAGATTGATTCTTGGATGTGCAAACCCAGTTTGTAACCTAGTGTCTGAAATTGGACCTGAGTAAACAAGCACAAAGTCACTGAGATCAGGAGCATGTTTCAGGAAAATGAGACTACAATATTTATAAGTCAAACTGATACAATGAATTAGTTCAAAATACTATTCATATAAGTAACACTGCTGGATTCCAGACAAGCCACAATAAATCTAAGATAAACAATTATGAAAGTGAGATTCTTCTTAACCACAGTTTGATAATAACTAATAAACCATAGTTATTAACCATAGAATAATTTTTCAAGCTGCCCTAATGTCTTGAGGGGTTTTGTGTGTTTGACTGAGAATGGCAGCATGTTAAATATATACAGTATAAATAAGATGGGGGAGGGCAAATAAAACTGGACCTCTTATTTTAGTTTTGAAATATGTCTAGGGCCATGATACTACATTCTCAACAGGTTTAAACAGATGTTATTCCTATGCAGAGAAGCAGCTGCTCCTAATAAAGGACTAAATACTTTATTTATATCATATTTTAGGCTTATATTTATTGTACAGTATAACCAAAAATAAAACCTCAGTTTTTTAAATCCTTTGAAGGAGCTTGTTTACTGCAAGGTATGATGTCTCAGGAAGATCAATATCAAATATCTTGTTTTTTAAAAGCTCTTGCTGTATGAAGCCTTCTAATGGCATGCTGTGCCTATGTTGCTAACTCTGCAAAAATGTTAGTAATTGTGTTTTTTAAAATTGTACTGGTGCAAATCTCAAAATGCTCTCTAAAAATAACACTTTGTTGTCTGCAAGAAAGAAGACACTAACACAGCAAGATGGTTAGAGTACACAAAATAATAAATTATTTTTTAAAATATTGATTGGCTATTGCCTCAAATCAGGTTCATTTTCCCTTTACATTATATTTATTAATATTCTTGGAGCCAAAACCAGAAGGGGGTGCTTGCTAAACCCTATTTGCTAGTTTGGTGGTAAAGCAGGGGTGGGGTGAGGCTTTTTCTTATCTCTAAAAAGAGCATGTGAAGGATGGGAATGGAAGTTCCCTCCCATCCCCCATAAAACAATAGTCTTTTTTTAGTCACTTGTCTATATGTAATCCAAGAAATTTTTACTTGATGTCTTTGCTGTTTTTTCGTACCGCAGCCCAAAAGTGACTGGGTTTATGTTTTCTATGTGACATTTGTTTTTCTTTTATTTGGCTACTGGCCTAAAATAATGACAGTTTTATCCACATTAATCATAAAAATTCAGTTCTGTAATTCTGACATTCCTTCCTAATTATTTGCTTTCTCTTGCAGATAAATTTGCGCCTCATTTTGGTAAGCGGAAAAACGAAAGAATTCTTGTTTTCACCCAATGACTCAGCAGCAGACATTGCAAAGCATGTATATGATAACTGGCCAATGGGTAAGTATTACAGACGAGTTTCCCCCACACCTTGTATTCAGATGGGGTCAGCCCTGTGCAGAGCTTGCCTGAGGCCCGGGGCGGGAGTCTTGTTAGAATAAAGTTATAAACTCAAACAGTGTAAGTGCAGCAGGCCCCTGACAGAGCCCCCTGCCTGCTTAGCCCTGTGAGGCCTGGGACAAGTGAACCCGGCTTCCCCCCTCTACATGGGCCTGGGTGGGACTCAACATGGGATGGTGGTGGTAAAGAATATCTTTATTTTCTAATGCAGAATATCACTGAATATTACTGGGCTGGTAATAGCTCAAAGGGTGAAACCAAAAGTGCCACACTCTTGTATTTTATGTGCTTACAGACTTCTATGCTAACTTTTATATGTATATTTGTACATTACTTAGACCAGTGGTTTCTAACACACACACCCTGGATCACTTGAATATTGCTGAGGGTCTGGGTGGGCCATTTAATTTTCCCCCTGCCTGTTGTAGCAATTTTAATGAGCTATGCTAGATTCTATATGATTTTAGTTGCTTCTTATATTTTTTTTATATTGTACTTTACAATATTACAATTTGAATTCTGTGGAAGAGTTCACAGGCATTCCACGGACCAGTATGAGACCTCCCGCAAGCTTAGACATTTTCTAATATGAAGCAGTCTAGATTACTCCCCCACAACCCCTCCCAATATCCTTTATAAAAGCTTCAATTTTCTAATGGAGCTAAATGTTTGGCAATTGTGCATTTTGAAATCTCAGCTTGGAGTGAAAATGTTACTTGGAAACTGCAAATTTGATCCTTTAAGCAGAGTGCAGCTCCTTTCAGAACAGGCTGAACTGCTGCCACCTTTGTCAGATGAATAGCCTACCAAAAGCTCCTTTGTCTTATCTGGACTGAGCTTCAGTTTATTAGATGTCATTCTTTCCATGGCTGACCTTGAGCCCCTTCTTGTTCAGCCGGTCTGCCTCACATGACTTTGATAAAAGGGAGATAGAACTGGTGTCACTGGGTTTATTTATTTTTATTTTTCATTATTTAATTTAAAATATTTATTTATGCTTGGGCAAGATTTTTGAAAAGAAGCATCAGGTCAGGGTACAAATGTCTAGCGTACAGATAGAAATGCAGAATTTATCAAGGTGTTCTTGTCTGGAGCAGCAAGGCAAGAAACTTGATGAGAGGTTATCACCAACAAGAAAACAAAAGATCTAGGGAGCCGGTCAGAAAGAGTTGCCCCAATTTGAATGGAGATACAGAAAATGATAAAAAGATAGGAGGAACTGGAGGATAAAGAAGCAACTAAGAAATGAGAGAGAGAAAGAGAAGGTGGGAAGACCTGGGATGGAGGAACAAGAATGACAAAGCAAGTGCAGGAAGGAAAGGGGCAGGAGGAACAACTGAACCCCATCCTCAGTTTTTTTGAGAACAAGTGAAATACTACAAGGCTGGAGGCAGGCAAATGTCTGTGTCTCCAAAAAGAATGCCTAGGCAACTGGTTATTGGTCAGCTTGACATCAGTACCTGGAAAGGTTCTAGAACAGATTATTAAGCTGTCAGTCAGTGTGCATTTAGGGGTGGGTGGAAGCTGTGATTGCAAAAAGCCCTTACAAAAAGTCCTGCCAGGCTAACCTTATCTCCATCTTTGATAGAGAGTTAAGTTGCTTGGTTGATCATGGGCATGCTGTGGATGTAGTATATTTGGATTTCAGCAAGCCTTTTGATAAAGTCCCCCATTATATTCTTGTTGGTGAGCTAGACAGTGCTGCTGTTTGAAAGAAATGTGGCTGCTGGTTGGGTCATACCCACCCAGAGAGTGCTCCTCAACACTTTCTTGTCAATCCTGGAGCAAAGTGACAAGTGGGGTGCTGCACGATTTTTTACTAGGCCTGCTGGTTTCTAACACCTTTGTAAATAAAAGTGCAGAGGAGATGTTAACCAAATGTGTAGAATGACACCAAACTGGGTGGGTAGCTAACACCATAGACAGAAACAAGGTGAATGTGATGTATCTACAAATGTTTAGGTATGTGGTTTCAACATAATTGACGTGGTTCCTATTTTTGTAAATTCAGTGTTATTTTGGGAGTTTATATGTGAATTATGCAGCTGAATATTTGTGTAATAAATCTCACAGTCTAATAAAACAAGTAGGACTGGGTTATGTTACTGAGCTTTTGATTAATTGTTCTCAATAAGTTTTGGGTAGCAACTAGGTTTTATATTTTCAAAAACTCAGAACTCAACCATGGTACATTTCTTTATGCCAGAGGGTCCCGAGTGCAGCCTGAAATCTGCATGGTACCTACTAGAGGAGACTTTGCCAACCTGGTGCCCTCCAGATGATTGGAACTTACAACTTTCATCAGCTCTCACCAGCATGACCAATAGTTGGGGGTGATGAGAGTTGTAGTAGTCCAAATCTTCTGGAGGGCACCACTCTTGAAAGATTCCATCAACAGTGTCTCCAAAAAATTTTACGCATCACTTGGGAAGACAGGCGAACTAATGCCAGTGTACTGCAAGAAGCAAAGATCACCAGTGTAAAAGCAATGATTCTTCAACATAAACTTCATTTGGATTGGTCATGTTGTTTGGATGCCTGATTATTGTCATCCAAAGCAACTACTCTATTACAAACTTTTAAAAAATGGAAAACATAATGCTGGTGGTAAACAAATGAGGTTTAAAGACTCTCAAGGCAAATCTTTAAAAAGTAGTATATGACTATTGGAAAACACTGGCCTGTGAGTGCTCCAACTGGAGAACAGTCTTTACCAAAGATGTCATGGACTTTGAAGACGCTCGAACTCAGAACGAAAGGGAGAAATGTGCTAAGAGGAAGGCACGTTTGGCAAACCCTCACCATGACCAGGGACGCGGGTGGCGCTGTGGGTTAAACCACAGAGCCTAGGACTTGCTGATCAGAAGGTCGGCGGTTCGAATCCCCGCGACAGGGTCCCAGCTCCTGCCAACCTAGCAGTTCAAAAGCACGTCAAAGTGCAAGTAGATAAATAGGTACCGCTCCGGTGGGAAGGTAAACAGCGTTTCTGTACACTGCTCTTGTTTCGCCAGAAGCAGCTTAGTCATGCTGGCCACATGACCCGGAAGCTGAATGCCAGCTCCCTTGGCCAATAAAGCAAGATGAGCGCCGCAACCCCAGAGTCGGCCACGACTGGACCTAATGGTCAGGGGTCCCTTTACCTTTACACCATGACCAACTTCCACCTGGAAACCTATGTCCCCACTGTGGAAGGACATGTGGATCCATAATTGGCCTTCACAGTCACAGACATACTGTTAAGACCGTGTTCATGGAAGACAATATTACTTGGCTATGAGTGATTGCCAAAGAAGAAGAAAGAAGAACGTGGGAAGCAGCACTTGTGGTTTGTTTCTTCCCTGACGTCCCAAAGGAAAGAGCAAAGCACTTAACTTAAAACAATTGCTTGCTTTTACCTATGGTTTAAAGTGACGTATGACCTGGTGACTAAATACAGGCTCCATGGCTCCATCAACCAGCTTTCCCCCTCTCTCACCCAAGTTTTGTTTAACCTCCAACAAGATGAAGCATACTGGAGAACTTGAGAGCTTACTCACTGTTTTGTGGCAGTTTGGTTGACCTAATAAAGGTATTGCCTTGCTGTGGTTCTGGATTTATTTATTTTTTGTAATAGCGGTTTGTTACTATTACAGTAATTAAATCTGTAAATGGAATTGTTGTTGTTAGCTGATATTGGCTGAAGTGCCTGCCTTATCTATTCCTTTTCCAACTGGTCCCACTGCCCCTTTTTAGAATTGAAGGGAAGTCTTGCCTGCTTTATAGCAAGCAATAAAAGCTCTCATACCTGTAATTATGTTTATGCAGTGTGTTGTATAGTCTAATAAGGCAGGGTATAAATGGAGACTTAAAAGATAAACAAGACAGTGAATGCACTTGACAAATATTTTTGCTACTTTTTTTCAGACTGGGAAGAAGAGCAAGTAAGCAGTCCAAATATTCTGCGACTTATTTATCAAGGACGGTTTCTTCATGGCAACGTGACATTAGGAGGTAATGAAATAAATTCAGTTGGAGACGGTGGTTCTGTGGGTGATCTTTGTCTGATTTATAAAATGCAAGAAATGGACTTCCTGGCGTAGTTAGTGAACCAAGGAAGCCTATGACAGGAACATATATACCTGAGGGCACACATGGTGCAGCCTTTCTCCGCCTTAAGAAAGACAACGCAAGGTGGAAGCAAAGAGGTCCAGTCTTAGGAACTTGTGACATCGGCTTCTAAAAAGACCATCAGATGGCCCAAGAGGAGGACCCTTAACACTCTACATTTCATACCATATATTAGGGCCATTGTTTTAAAATGGCATTGGGTTTCTTGGCAGAAAGGCAATATATAAATACAATACAAAAATAAAAGTTTGTCCTTAGTAAACAGACAGCATGATCCCCAGTTAGAGCACTTTGGGTGTTGTTGGTTTTTACTTGGGGAATTCAGCAAAGGCTCTTATTAAAATCAGTGGTACTTAATAAGTTCTCAGCTTTGAGCATGATCCCACCAATGTTTTTAATTAAAGTTGCAATTTTGTGTTCCATTACACATGCAATTGAGTACTAGGCTATAACTCTTAAAAATTCAAAGGTTCAATATATTTAAAGGGGTTATCATTCAGTGGTCTGCGGTGTATCACATTTTTAATTTCTCTTCAGGTATTACTGCAGTAAATATCATCTTGGAAATGATGGTACTAATTACCAGGAGTTAATAGCAGTCCTCTCTTAATTGGAAAAGTGATTTGATTTCAGTCTTCATATGCCTCCCGTACTACATACAGTCCTTAGAATCTGTATTCTAAATATTATGCGAATTGCATAACAGTGACCTAAATCTTAGCACTGTGGCTGGGCAGATTGAGAACTGGAATAAGGGGAAGCTTTCTTGCTGTGTCTAGCATAGCCATGAGGTTCCAAATGATTAGTTATAAAAGACTGGAATCACTTGGAGTAGAAAAGCAGTTCAATTGTGCCCCCTTGTGGCATGCACTTCTACCTGGTTTTTACTGTATAGTGAACTGCACTCAGAGTTATTGCCAACTTTTTGAATACTGAGTTTCACTGCAGTATTCGTATTCATGATAAAATTTCAGATGGAATATAAATTGAATTTGGGTGTGAGTGTGCATACTTGGAAGTTTGCATGCATGTACACTAGAAACAATTGTTCTGGCTTGCTGAGATTAGCTTTCCTAACAGGTCAAATCTCCCACTAACCAGTTTGACTGTGTGCCAATTTGCATTATTGGTTAATTTCAAATGTGTGACTGCAAATATCCCAAAATAGTAAGCACAAAGTAGTTGGCCAGGATTATTCAGCACTGAAGAGAAAAGGCTTGTCAGAGGGTTTCTCTTATCCTTAAAAGGGGTCTGGCAAATCATAAAGATTTATTTACACCGCTCACATTCCTTCAGATGAACTTCCTCACTGTCTGTCTTTGCATCTAGCTCAGACAGTAGAACATGAGACCCTTAGTCTCAGGGTCGTGGGTTCAAGCCCAAATGTTGAACAAAAAGATCCCTGCATTATAGGGGGTTGGAATAGATGACCCTCTGGGTTCCTTTACAACTTTGTGATTTTATGATTCTATATCAAGTAAGCATGAAGAATTTCTACTGGAGCAGGGAACTTCAGAGGAAGCATGCTGAAGTTGTACTGAAATCTGTGATGGTATATACAAATCTGCTAGATTTTACTTGAGCATTTTATGCTTGCTCTGAATTTTAGCCAGTATTTTTATACACATTTCTAAAAAAAACCATGCATTTTAGTACATATAAATATGTTGATGGTGTTATGGTATGGAAAATGCTGATAAGTCAAGGAGAATTTAAAACCAGCTGTGTTATCCCAGTTCCATCCCATTGTACTTCCAAGGAGCTTGAGGTTGCATGTAAGGTTCTCTCTCCTGTGACCAATCCTCACAGCAAAGGTAGGCTAGGCTGAGTGGAGTCACCCAGTTAGCTTTGTGACTGAGTGGAGTTTTAAACCCAAGTTTCCTTGTTCCTAGGCTGACAAATAATTGGTTTAAGAAACATGGCTTTCTTTATTATCAGAAACAAGCCAAACAAATGCTTAAATTTAGGTTTGTATTGACTGTTTCAAATATTGGGGCATCAAAGGACTGGGAACAATATTTTATTCTCCCTTTCTGCAACTTATATTTGTAAGCTGCTGTTCTGAGAGCTCCAGCTGAAAAGTGACTAATTAAAGTGACAAGAAATAAATCAAATGGTGAAAGCTTGCACTTTTGGAAAATAAGCAGTTTGGATATTGTATATTACTGTATCTATAGGGATGAAGAAGTGTATTAACAAGTAATTCTCTCTCCCCACACACAGCATTAAAACTTCCTTTTGGCAAGACGACAGTGATGCATTTGGTGGCTAGAGAGACGTTGCCAGAGCCAAACTCTCAAGGTAAGCTGATGCTTCTAACTTGGACTCAATGGACACATATTCAAAGTATCTGCACTTTGGTTGCAGTCTCTTGGTGACTTATTAAAATGTTGTGCTGAGGAGAAATCTAAAGGTTTTTGTGTGGTTCTTAGAACACGTGAATTTATATTTACACTTGAAAATGTAACTTCCCTTTTAAGGGCATGTGACCAAAGCTCGTAGTGCTCATTCAAAATTATTCTGCTCCTTTGTGTTGCACACAGAGAGTAATATTTTGCACTAATCATCTTGAAAACATTTTCTCTGTTCTGCAGGTCAGAGGAATCGTGAAAAAACTGGAGAGAGCAATTGCTGTGTGATCCTGTAAAAGCTCTGCTGTATCTACTATTTGTGATGTATAATAGTTTTCGTCTTTCATGCCGCTGGACTAGAGGAGACCAACATTGCTTCAAACACCCTTAGGACAAGCCTGTCTGAATCCATTGAACTGAAATATTACATGAACGCTGTCACTTTTTTTTTCTAGAACAATGAACACTTTTTTATTTCTACGTTTTAGGTTGTTGAACAAGCTTATTAATACATCACTTCTCCACTTCTCCAATGCATTCTCTCTCCAAGGAAAGGTTAACTATTCTCAACAGGAATCATATTGCTGCCATAAGATCATCCTTAACCTGAACTTTAACCAATCAAGATTTCTAGATGCAATTTGCACTAAAAATGGTTGACGATATATAGACCTCATCATCAAAAGCTCTTAAGTATTTCAAACACAGAGAAATGAATCAGCACTGGAAAATACTATCAGCAGTCTTATTCTTTAAATTCAGTAACGGCCAACTGAAAGGGGGGGAAATAACTACTAAGTAAGTAAATTCTACCTAAGTCAACCTTGGTGGCCAAACTGGCACAAAATACTAACTAAAATTGTCTGACTATAGACATATATATATATTCACTGCAACAAACTATGTGCCTGTAATTTTAAAGCACTCTGTAGAGGGCTGTTGAAACTGATTTTTTTCATTGATATGCACTCTTCTCGTACATTAGTTGAGTGCTTGTTCAGACAGCACAAATAAGTGCAGAGAGTGCATTTCCTAGCCTTAATATGGGAGGGGCAATTTCCTGTAGTTCATAGGCTTTTATTAATGTGCATAAATATTAGAAGACCTCATTTACTAATCAATTTTATGTCTTTGAATATCAGCAATTGATGTTTTTCAATCATTCTTATTCATCCGTACCTTAGTGTCCAGTGTCATGCTTACTCATTAGTGACTTCAAACAAATAATTAAAAGGAAAAATGAAAAAAAGAAAAGAAAAACCTCTGCCATATGATGAGATTTTGTTTGTTTATTTTATGTGCATTTGGTGTTAGTGCTTGCAATTGTATTGGAAATCAAAAACTGGTTTTTAAAGCATACATATTTAGAAAGGATGCCATTCGTTTTCTTCATATAATTTAAAAATTGATATGCTAAAAAAAATTGCACAGCACTAAAGCATGAGTTAGTTTCATCTAAACCTGTAAAAAATATAAAAGATTTTATATTTTTCCGCTAGGGAGAAATTCTTCCTAGTTGAAATTACAAATGTGTAGAATATATTTAATAAAAATCTTATAAAAACATAACTATAGAACTTAAATATAGATTGGAGTGTAGAATAATACAACAATAATCCATATAAATAGCTCTAGGCTTTTAAGAAAAAATTGCAGGTTGACATTTGTGTTCTGTACTTGAGTCCATGGCCCTTACAAACGTTCTGTGTTTTCTGAATGATCAACTTCATTTAAATGTAATCAGGTTATTTTATTCAATGTTATTGCTTTGACAAAATGCTTTATATGCAGTAGGCCTACAAAGATATTGTTCATAATGATCAAAATTAAATTTGTATAGAGCAGAGTTTTAAAACAAATTGTAAATAGCACTAAACATTTTCTTTCTGCAACCTGTACTGATAGATTCTTCTCTAAACTAAATAAAAGAAGAATATTGTAGTGCACTTGGTTGTGATTTGAAAGCTATGACCTGATCTGTATTGGGCATCAGTGTTTTAAAGTCATGAAGAGCATGTGCAATGGAAATATCCCTTCCTGATTTTCTTTTTAAATTAATACTTGGGTTGAAATCCGAGACTGTAAACTTTCTTCGGAACAGGGATGGAGGCATTTTGGATATGCTTGGCCTCAGCTGTGCAGGACTTTATAAATCCACAAACTCGCGTTTACCCACCCCTGGAGTCAATGAATTGATTGGGTAACCAATGCTAATAGTTAAAACACCGTTAGAACTTAACTTATGAAACTGCATGAGCATGAGAAATCTTAGTATTTTAGCATTCAAAAACCTAACGGTTAATTAAAAAAATGTGTGCATTCAGCTATTGGCAACCCTGTTCACTATTGACCCGCTTGCCATTTCTGTTTCAAAACAGCAGCAGTTTACTCCCAAAGCTTTTATTTTGAAGAGACTGTTAGCAATGCAACCTCATCTTAGCCAATGCCTTTAGTTTGGTCCCAGCATCATAAGCAGCAACTCAGTTGGGTGCTTTCTACACTTGCTCAGTTTCACATTAATTGTACCTGAAAACTCTGGCAGTACACTTCATTTTTAGAATGACTTCAAATTGAGTTCTGGGGATTTATTTGAAACTGTCGGGAAAGAAGGCCACATAGGAGTAGTAGAGATCCAAACATGTAAAATAAATGCACATAATCCAACAAGTTGGTGAGAAAATTTTGCAGCAACTATTGGATAGAATACTGGTCTTTACAAGTTTACAGAATGATGTGTTAAAGTGGAAATGAGGCCTGTTTTCCCTCTAGGACTACTGCCTGATTAAAGAACATTTAGCTGATTCATTATCTGTCGTTAATTGGGTCTTTACACTTGCATGCTGCATTTTTGAGAAATTGAACTGAGAGAGAATTGAATAAACAAGCTATCAACTGTTTGGGGGGCGGGCGAATAAACACCTACCATTTCCTACTCTACTACCACCAGAGCCAAAATGGTCTCAAAAATATACAGCAGACCTTCCTCTAACGTCTATCAATTAGTTTTGCTTGCGTTGTTTAATCAACCTTTGGTTGATAAACAGCAAGGGCAAACTTCAGTTGGTAGGACAGAAAGAAGGGCATATTGTATATTTTTGAGGCTGTGATCTGCCAGTTAAAAGTTTGCAGCCCTTAACTTCCCTCCCATCCCTAATAGAAACCATAAAAACATTGAACCAAGGGATATCTGCATGTCAGGCTACACCTTTTCAATTAAAGCTATAGCACTGGATGGGAATTTTTTGCCAGCAATGAACTGTGGGAGGGGGACATCTCTGGCCTGGTTGTGGAATCCTGAAATCTGGTACAGGTGGTGGAAGGAGCCCAGCTGCCTTTGACAAATAGCTGTGCTTTGGCTCTACTCTTTCTCTATGACAGGCATAGCCAAACTTGGCCCTCCAGCTGTTTTGGGACTACAACTCCCATCATCCCTAGCTAACAGGACCAGTGGTCAGGGATGATGGGAACTGTAGTCCCAAAACAGCTGGAGGGCCAAGTTTGTCCATGACTGCTCTATGATCAGTACATCAGTACTCCAAAAAGTTGAGTGGGGTCATAGGAATGCTGCAGATTGTGTGTTACCATGCTGCTTGGAGGTGAGTAGGTAGAATGGTCTCCTATTTCCAGTAGTCTTTTCTTTCCAGCAAGCAACCAACCTCACTAATTGTTGGAAAATGAAGACCACTAATTTACCATCACCTACCCTTGCCCTATTGATCCTCCTCCTTCCCCACGTTTGCCACATGTGCCTTATAAGGACTACAGCTTCTGACATGGTCCATGGCACATGAGCTGGGAGCAACCTCGTACCTACTTAGTCTGCTATGTTTGTTTGATGGGAGAGTTTGGCAGGCCCATGCTCCAAGTAAGTTTCTTCTTGAGTAAGGCAATGCTTATGAAACGGTCTCATATGAAACCAAACCATTGGTTCATCTAGCAACGGCTCTCCAGGATTTTAACCAGAGTTTTTCTCAGCCCTACCTGGAGATGTCAGAGACTGAGGACTACCTGTATGGAAAGCAGGACACTGAGTCACACGGACACCATCCTAATCCATAGGGGTCATTGAAAGAATATTGCTGATGCTTAAGGTGCTGGATGGAGAAATGTTCAAACTGTCGATGACTTGATAAGTGCCCTCAAACCTCAGAATAATGAGATGGTAATATGTACCCAGACAAGCTGGAACCAGGGGAGGGATGGGCAGTCATTCACTTGGCAATAAGTATCGGCAGTAGCTAATCTTGGACAAGCTGAATTGCACCATGAAGTGTCAATTGGGGATGTACCAACTCTCCATTTGTAGCATTTGGCTGACAAACAGGAAATGGGATTGAGGCAAAGCAGAAAGCAAAGCCAACATAAAGCAATAAAAGAGAGGCATGTGCATTGTGCTTGCTTATTTTTTCTGAAGCAGGGATGTTAGGAATGCTATCCAATGCTGCTAGCTAATTGGCTCGAGGAGGCCCGTTGAGAGCCTCTTGCAAATAATCCATGTGATGCTTCGTCTCTTCTGTAGGCCCTGTAGCATCATCTTTTTGCAAACAGGGAACTGAGGCCGGCAGATGGTGACTTATCTTGTTGAAGGTAATGCAAGTGTTCTGGTTCCAAGATTTTTAATCAAGGCCAGTTCAAGCAATTTTGCTGCCTGAAACAAGCCAGGACTCCTGCCACTGCAGCACTGGTGGTTGCAACTTGCTCTGTCTCAGAGAAACCATCGCAAGTCGAGCAAGATTTCACCAAAGTTCCTAGCTAGGCAGCTGCTGGTAGTTAAGTGCTCAAGTGCCATGGCAGTGGCTGGCAAGGGGGCACATTTATTTGAGAACATTTGTCGTTCTGCTGCGCCTTTCAATCTGCCGCTTGAGATGTGGCTCATGGTAGGACCAGCCTTGGTCTTTATAAGCACAAAAGAACCCTCCAGATTCGACCAAGGACCTGTGTAGTTCAGTACCCTGCTTCCGATAATGGCCAGCCTGATGCCTTTGGGAAGTCTGCAAGGAGGGCATAAAAACAACAGCCCTCTCCTCACCCTGCTGTTTCCTAGAGGTAGCATGTGGCCATTATGACTTGAAGTCTTTGATTATCATATCTTTCATTAATTTGTCTAATCCAGTTTAAAAACTATCTGAGTTACTAGCCAACACCATGTCTTGTAGCAGGGCATTCCACAGGCTCACTATGCAAGTGGTACCACACACAAGAAAACATAGTCCAAATGAGAGTTATCATTAAATGTGTGATGCATGCACACAACGAAAAATCTGGTGATGTGTGTGAGAGAGAGAGGTCGGGAGTCCATCAGCTGTGTGTACCCTGAACACCGAAGAGATTTTGGTCATGATCTCACAGTTTCAAAACGAATCATGCCATGAAAAAAACATCTCAAGGCAGATCAAGAAGACCCACCCCCACCACTTCCAAGTCACTCTATGGCCTGCTTTTCCAAAAAGTAAAAAACACAACTATTTTTCTTTCTTTTATGAGAAATGATTTTTTTCCAATCGTATCATCATGACCACTGACCCCCGTCCCATGGGGCTCCTGCCGTTTTGCAGCAGAGAATCAATGGGGCTCTGGGAATGAGTCCATAATGTACGTCTAATGAGGCCATTCTCTATAAGACTTGCTGGTTTAATGCAATCAAGTCCCACAGTTGCTGCTGTATTACAGAGGGAGAGAACCGGCTTTTATCTGCCAAAGTAGTTTAGGCACACCATGAACTATCCAGCATGAAACCTAATATACACATTACTAAAAAGAAAACTGTTGTATTGTAATCAGGCAAAGAACAGCATGACCATTCAACATATTTTGAACGTAATGGGAGGAAACTGAGCCCTGGAAACGTTAAGTCAACAAAAAGTCTTCGTGGTCTTCTCAATCACTTGGTGTACAAAATGCAAATCTGGAGTAAGAACGATCCAAAACCAGCAGGATTTTGTTCTTTTGGAAACTAAAAGTTTGCAAAACTCCATGTTGTGAAGCCATTCTTATTGCAAGAGATGGAATATTCCATCTGAAGGCGTTTTCCTGGCCGTCATCAATCACACCTTTGTAAACCTAAGGACTGGCTGGTATAAAATCCCCTATGTGGGGCCTGGCTTTGAAGGTGCTTTCGAAAGTTCAGCAATGCAGAATGCCATTCCCTGTCTTCTGGTTGGAATAAAGAGGTGGGAACATGTCCAAGGTATTTGGAGGCAGCTGCTTCCTTTGTATTTGGAAACTACCTGGAGGGCGGAATATGCTCTCCAAAATCCCCCCTGTGGAAGATGATTAATTTTTGTGGCAGACAATTACACTGACTCCTTCCAATTACACAAAAGTAGCATTGCCTGTTTCATGAGTGCTGCAATAAATCTCCCTAACGGATTCTCCTTCAGGCTCAGGATATACCTGTCATAACTTAAATTCCATTCCTCTTGAGCTTTAGAAAAATCGTTGTGCTGGGATTCACCTAGTTCAGGGAGGGGGAAGTCTCTTACATCTTGGTTCCTTATAGTGCAATCCTTCGCCTGTTAAGTCCCACTGTATCTATGGGACTTCTCCCTACCTAGGAGGGCTAACTTAAGCCCCTAGTAAATATGGTTTGGACTGCAGACTTGTGGAGGCAGTGCTTGAATGTATCAGGAGGCCAGAAGGGGAAATTTTACTATCATTTTGGGGAGTCGGGGATGGCGCTTGTGAATTTAATACTCCTCATTTCCCCCAGAATTAAAAAACTGGTTTCCAGTTGCCAGTGTTTAGGGACAAGAGCAGATAATCCAGTCCAGGACAAGGGGAATCTCCATGTCATGACATGAAAAAACTTCAGCTGTTGATTTCAGCATATCAGGCTGCTGTTCAAGGCACAAAGGCCAGGCTCCCATCACCACCCCTGGCCTGCTGGTAGCCCTGAAGATCCCATTCCCAGAGTAAAGTGGGGTAGGATTACACAAAGACAACATATGGGATGGGCCTATGAATATAACTGTGGAAAGGTATCCTAAGATTCAGTGAAAGGAGAAGTACAGCAGAAGGAGGGGGGCACACACAGCAAAGTTGCGTGTGCCCCCCTCCTGGCATTTCAAGTCACATTTGCATTGCTGTACACACACTACAGAGAGGGCAGGGATGTCTTCACCCAATGCACATTACCTGTTTGGTTTCCTAGCACCTGGACACTAACCCACCCCCACCCCCAAAACTCCTATTCATGAGTCTGTTACCTTGCATGCACATGTGCAACAGCGGTCTCAAATGCACACACCTCAGCTTTTTTTAAAATAATATTTTTATTAGTTTTTCCATGTGTACACCCTGTAACAATATTTCTCTAACAATTTTCATGTTACCCTCCCCCCCCCCCGCTCCTCCCCTGGACTTCCTTCATATTCCCAATTTGTTTTATTTCAATATTACTCTTCCTGCATGTTGTTTCCCAAAATTTTCCCAGTACATATAGTCTTACACCTCAGGTTACAAACACTTCAGGTCACAGACTCTTAACACCTCGGGTTAAGAACTTTACCTCAGGATGAGAACAGAAATCGTGCGGCGGCAGCGGGAGGTCCCATTAGCTAAAGTGGTACCTCAGGTTAAGAACAGTTTTAGGTTAAGAACAGACCCCCGGAATGAATTAAGTTCATAACCAGAGGTACAGCTGTATACAATTGTGTTTGTTTATTCAAACCCTGCCAGTGAGTCCAATTCTTTATGTTGCCTCTTCATATATGTTGTAAATGGTTCCCATTCTCTTTTAAAGTCTTTGTTATCCTTTTCATGTAATTTATTTGTTAATTTTCCCAGTTCCGCATATTCCATAAGTTTCCCTTGCCATTGTTCTTTCCTTGGTGCACACACCTCAGCTTAACCGCGAAGCGTATGTGGCCTGCATTTCCAAATCGGATGTAAGCTGGTTTGAGAGAACA